GAGCAGTCCATTCCTGAGGTTTTCTGATAGCAATCTCTCTTCAAGAGAAACAGGAAGCTAGATTCTAACCTATTATGAAACCATACACCGATTTGGTGATAACCAAAGTGATCTAGAAGAGTTCTTGATGAATGGAAGTCCTCCCTAGCCTCTTAAGCCCTTCTCTAAGCTGTACTAATAAATGCAAGTTTCTACATATTCTAGGTTCAAAAAGGATTAGGGCAACTGGCCCCTAAAAGTCAGACTTCAAGGCAAACAAGAAAGCAGCAGAGTGCTTAACATCTAGAAAGTCTGCTACACACCTCTAGCACCTCATAGCATAAGGCAGGTTCAGTAATCAGCAGGAATAAGAATTAGCAATGAAGGCACTGATATTCATGTAGTGAAGTTTACTACAAGGCATCTGTCTGTACATGAAATACTATTTTCCTTAATTATCCGTAATAGGAAATCCCAAGATTCTCAGCCGGCTCTGTCAGTTAATATTAACTCCAAACTTTGAAAATGGTATAAAAATAGAAAAGACCAAATCCTGCAGAGGCAGCAGAAGCACATTATGAAGAATGCAAATTTAGCTTGACTGGGAATGGCAGCATTGGCACCACTGGCCCCACTCCAGTATAGAGTTTGCCAACACAACGCATCAAAACAACAAAATTCAATGCAACATGATGTTCAGTTAACTCACAGAACACACACAAAATGAAATGACTACCATAGGTACGAAAGCTGGCAATTGATATCCATGAATACAGGTTCTACTACAGATGCAGCATCCTCTTTGGTAATAGCCACGAGGCAGAATTAATTTGTTTTCTTTCCAGGAGCATGCCCTCTCTTGTGCAAGCAAGGATACAGACAGTTCTTCTAAAGAAGGCTGTGAATCAGATAGCCTGTGTTTCTGCTAAGGACTGACTTCCTGACTACCCTTGCACAACTCTTACCCACCTCACATCCCATTTCGGGGCTTCAGAATGAAAATGCTACTTTTGTCTTCCTGCCATCTTAGTTGGAATGTAAATCTGATGAGTTCTTCAGTCTTTCACAGCTGTCATTCCATGATGAAAAATGCTGCACCGCAGAGAAAGGAATGTTATGACCTTCATTTCCTCATTATATAAGGCATATAGATATGCTATATAAGAACAGAATCTGGCCTGGCAGTCCTCTATCATAAAATGTAGTAGGACCAGCCTGACACTTCAGGAGTTATCACATTTGAGTTGCAGCTTGGACCATTGTAATTCATAACAAAACTCCGCCTTCTCACAATTTTAAAATAAGATAAAGTAAAAATACTTGCATTTAGTAATTGATGTATTGTCCTGTTTTTATTTTATCAGTAGAGTTTGACAGCAGGGGCTGCCTCAAGCACTAAACTCTTCACTGTAGCAATTACTGTGCAGTTGCTTTCAGAAACAGGAGAAGAGCAACAAAAGCCATCTTGTAACAAAAAGAGGGGCAAAGCTGCCAGAAATAGCAGCCCACAGGGCAGGTGGGGAATAGCCACCTCAGTACAAACAAGGGAAGAGCCACACTTCTAGGATGCAATGTAGAAATACATTACATTGCAGATGAACTCTAAGAATAGCTTGAATGGCAATTAAAAAGACAAGCACAAGGATTTCAGTGAGCCATAAGGCCTTGTTAACAACAATGTTAAGATCTTAAGTAAAAAAACACATTTTATAGCTGCTGAGCTTCATTTTGCCAAGACGCAATAAGGACTAGATACTCCTTAAGAAGAAGCCAAGTACAATAACAAGGCTAGAAGCACTAACCTCCTATTACCTGAGTTAATAACAGCAAGATGATTTAATCAAGTATCCAGACTATCCAGCAACTTGCTGTGATGATGCAGACCCAAGGTCAAGCCAGGAAATCAATCTACAGATCAGGTCAAATCCAGTGGGACCAACCACAGCCAGACACAACTCAGTAAGTACCCAGCAGACACAAGGTGATGGAATAAGCCCAAAATCGAGATAAAAAATCACCCCATAGATCAGCCAGGAAGACTGTGACTGATTCAGAGATCAGCATTTTTGCAACAAAGCCCAAAGATCACAAAGACCTAAACCTGAGTTTAGGGGGCTGAGCTGAGGGCCAAAGAGCGTGGGTCCCAGGTGAGGCTGGTTAGCTGCATTTCATTCATTTACAGTAAACGAAAGAAACCCAGCACACCGTTCTTCAGGGAACTCAGTTTCCCAAGCACTGTATTATAAAAAACAAGGATATTTTGGAAGAATTGTATTGCCTCAAATGGATATCACAGGACTACTTAGGCTCCATTGCTCTTACAATTTAATTTTCAAGCAGTTATTGGCACAGCTGGCTCTGCACAGGACTACAGACTGCTCAGCAAGTGATCACATTCCTCTCAGCCTTGTGACATCTCTGAACTGTGCTCATTTACAGCCATTCAGCTACTGCTTGGAAAACGACAGGAGCACTGCGTGTTGCTTAAATTGGTGTGGCCAGTTCTGTTGCTCCCAACTTCTGCTTCAAAGAATATCCAGTGGCGCCTTGCAGACCAGGCTATGTCTATATCCTCCTCAAATCAGGGGTCTAAATAATGTCTCCACTGGGGAATCCATGAAAGCAACATGTTGGAGATTCTTGGCTACTGTCCCCATCTGTTTTATTACATATATATATATATATATATTTAATAACTTTGCTTAAAATTTCCTAGAGTTCTTAGCAATTAATCATAATCTACTAAATAATATAATTAATCATAATAATGAAAGATGTGTTTTCAAGGAACTTTTCACGCACTGAGAATTGCTCTGATCAAGTGATAGGAGGCGAATTAAGATGTAAAATATTGATATTATAACAAATATTGCTTCTAAAGTAGAACTAAGGGAGAGAAGTATGAGAAACATGGATCTTTATGGGCTCTATGAAGAGTCAACAGGTGAGAAATACTTCTATAGATTCAGAAAGTTTTTGTATATTTTTCACCACAGATGATAAAGAAAGGAAAGAGATAAATGCAGGAGAAGATATATACAGCAAAATAAAAAGAAATGGGCAAGAAGGCTTTCAAAGGACTGGACTCTTTTTGCTGTACTGTATCAGAAATCCTCTCTTAGTTAATGCTCTCATTTCACTAAATAAAAACACTTATTGTAAAATATCAAGCATATAACTGGATATCTTGCTGCAGAAAAGAAATGAAGACAAGGTGCTCTATTTCTTGTCATGTGATAAAATAGTAGGTAAGTAAAGGCATTGTCCCTTATCAGTGCTTTCAATTTGAAAATAGATAATGAATACATATTTAAATAAATTAGAATTTGCCTGCTTATTTCATACAAAACAAGCTACTCCCTATCCATATAAAATACTTCAGACTTGAAAACAGTTAATTGTGAAACAGATTTGAAAGTTTAACAGCTGCCTCTGGCTGAGCCCTGTGTCTTATCTCAGAGACTAGTTAATCTTGTTGTGATTGCAGTTGCTTGAACAGTGTAATCAAATGAGGGAACAATGCATACAAACCCAGTTTCGCTGTTTAGTTCAGCGTGTATTAAACTGAAAGAAGAATCTGTAGTCATTTTGGCAAGTACTGCTAAAAATCCCTTAGCTTAATGCTATTTTTTAGAAGAAAATAATTCCATTCTCCTTATCTAGTTTCTAAAACCAGAACAATGTTCTTTTGGAACTAATTCACAAATAACCAGGTCAAAATATATTTAACAAATGGCTTTTACATATTTATCGTTTTCTAGCACTGGTCATGAACCATTTAAAGTTTTTTGTTTGTTTGTTTGTTTGTTTTTTTGTGTTTTTTTTTTTTTAATCAGAGTAAATCTGTTCCAAATGGCTGTCATTCAGCTGGTGCATTGTATGCAGCAATATGCTTCTGTATACCTTTCCTTTGCAGGGGAAAAGATGTTTCTTCGTTTACATTTTGTCACATCCTCTGCAATCAATGCTTCCTTCATTAGCTGATAAGAAGCCCTGAAGTTTGTGGAAAACATTGCAGTGAAAGCTTCTCAAAGGTCTCGTTACACATTTATTGTACTAGTTGGCTTTTTGGGCGTGCAAAGAGTTCTTGAACACAAAATCAGGGGGACTAAGATAAGAATTTGAGTTTGTCCATGTCCATGTTGTCCATGTCCACTGTTAAATTTCCAGCAGATATGGTCCACCACTTCTGTTATGGAAAATAGCTTGCTTTCGTGCTTTTCAAATTTCCAACAAGGCTAAATAATTATTTTTCTCCAGATTGAAAAATGTCAGAATGAATAAAGTGAGAGAATGAACAAAAAAGCTGGCATTTGGGAGAGAAGAAAGAAGCAGTGAAGGTGGGAGGAAAATGAAAGAAAAGAAGTTTAGTGGGTTGCAAAAGAACAGTTAGGTGACTTGTGAGAAGAGAAACTATCGCTAAGGCAACATCAAGTGCAGGAATAGAACAGCTTAAGTTAAATAAATACACTGTCGCTTGAGCTCTCAATCTTTCAGGGAACATTATTTAAGTATTTCTGAACAAAAGTCCTTTGAGGCCCCATCCTACTCTTTGTTTCTTCCACAGTTACACTCACAGCTCGTTTTCAACAAGACTCAAACACTGATGATCTTCTCAACTGATGCCGTGTATACAGTGGTTCTTAGTGTACCAACTCCTCAAAAAACACAACTCTCCTTCTAATGTTTATCATGATGAGATCTGATGAGTTCAGAAGCTGCTGGAGTTCTTATGACTGGTAACGAACATGACAGTTTTTGCTTTTTACTAGAGTATGCTTCAGTTCCCTTAATTACAGCCAGACCTCCGCATTTTGAGTGACGTAAATTATCGACTCCTCTAGCAAGGATCTGTTAGTGAAATGGATAGATCAGTACTTGCTTTCCTAACAAGTAGAGGACCTTCTAAAGCTAAGAATGCTTAATCTGCCACACACAGATGATACCATTAAAGTCAATATCATTTAGCATATGCTTTATTGTTATTTATTATAAACTTAATCATGTCCGTATCAGTTTTGATAGAAGCTAAGTGATATCAAATTATATTATGTTACACTGGTTCTTACAGGCTTTCTGCATATGTATATTTTTTAATACATTTTTGATTTATCAACACTTCTGGAAAGTTGCTTGGTTTTCAGAAATCAATTTTATTAGAATTTGTTTTATTTATAGGTGCATTTAACCTTGTTTATTACTTTCAGTTAGAGCACACCCTTGGTTCTTTTAAACCACTTCTCTACAAAATAGCAACTTTCAGAAACAGAGAATAAAGACAAGAAATGGACCAGAGGGGTAAAACAAAGGAAAACAAATTAATAGTAGGTTCTGAAGTTACTAAATCTCTTGTCATGTGAGGAGAAAAGTAGTATGACCAATATCATTAACTTCTGAAGGTTTTGAATGTCTTCAGAACATTTTTTTTTTCCAGAAGTATCTTTTTGTAAGACGATAAGTGGTAGGAATGAGAAAAATACCTACTCCCATCTTGCTTCTGTTCTACTTTTGAGAGTAATATGTGCCTTTTGGTGAGCAAAACCTGGCAGTGACCCATGACATGCATTCTTTCACTGTTTTTCTGAAATTAACACTTAGAAACTCCACGCAAAAATTTTGGAAGAAACTTATTAAAAGAGACTTATTTTAGCATTTTTTATGAAAAACAGAATTCATTTGTTATCGCTTGCAGATGTAATATCACACAGACAAGATCATCTGCTCTCTGACTAGCTCTAATGTTAATGTTCATGCAGATTACTTTCAGGAAGTAAGCCTCCTGCAAGCCTCTAATGACTTTTCAGATCCATTAGTCCATTATGTATTATTAATTCAAAGCATTACTGATTAATGTTGTAAGTAGATTTATTTCTGCTCCTACAATACAAAGAACTAGCTCCTCTTGTTACCGTTATCAGATGAATGGTATGTTACTGCTTGATATATTTGGTTCCTTCGTTAGTTTTCATCCCTTTCCCTGCTCTTATCTGTCCCCTGTTCTGCTGTTTGCCCCCTTACCAACTCTTTCTAATACTCAAAAAATGTCAGGCCCCTTCCATTCACCTATTTTGTGGGAAGAATTTGCACTTAACTTTGGAAAATTCAAAGTTTGGCAAAAAGGGAAAATTCAAGCACGTGTAGCATTACCTTTTTCAAAGGTAATAGTGGTGCTTCACATTCACTGCCCTTTCCAGAGCCCGGTTCTACCACTGGCCACACATTACTCTGTCTCTAGCTGCTACTCCTGCTAACAGAGAGCACTGCCTGCTGCTGATACTCCAGAGCAACACTCCATCACTCCTCATGCCACCCCTCCATAGGCCAGATCATCTGCAGTGCCCAGTTACATAGCTTTACCCAGCACTGGTTTTCTCATGTTTCATTTCCAGCAGTACAGTAGAGTGCATGCAAATAGTGATCAGCCCCTGCACAACCAGATCCAGCCCTGCAATCTCTTGAAGCCAGGATCTTTAAAACACTACTTATCTTTATCCTTTTAACTAGTAAATTACAGAATGTGTATGCTCCTCTAGCTTTTATCTAGATAGCTAGCTAATTATTTTCTGTAGTGAACACTTCAGTCATTAGCACCTCTGAATTCAGCTATCTTTGGTTTTCTGCATGCTGCTTTGCAGGCATCTTAAAGCTTGTTTTTGTTAGACCACAGACATTTTGTATGCTTATGTAAACAAAGGCATGGTAACACGTTATATAATGTGATCTTTCTAATGCACCCCAGGATATCATTGGCCTTCTTGGCCACAGGGGCACACTGCTGGCTTGTGGCCAACCCGTTGTCCACCAGGACCCCCAGGTCCTCAGTATTACTCTGTTTATTTCCTCCTTAAAGATCACAGAGCACTTAAGTGGCATGAGTTTGCTGAATATATTAATGATGAGCAGTCTCCTCTACAAAGAGCAAGGAAATGAAGCAGATTTTAGAAGCTGTGGATCTTGCCAGCATGTTTAAAACTAAGAATAAAAAAGGAGAAGAAACATCTGGTGTTCACTGAACCTTTGTAAACTGTTTTAAGATAAGCTTGGTTGGTATTTTGGACACCACAAAGGGAGGGACAAAGGCACCTGACAGACCTCTGGGAAGACACAGCCCAGGTCTTGGAGCCCCTTGAGATACTGAGGAGATGACAAAGCAATGGAAATGGCTGGAAGCAGCATTGTGGTCACTCCAGACACACACACTCCAGACACACAGACACACAAATGCAAAGTGTTGCTGGGGCAAGTGTATGATTAGAAATACAACTATCACTTGCCCAAGACATTTTGGCTCTCATCCAACAGAACACTGAAATACTAAACAGACTTGCCTTCAGGAATATTTTCTCCTTCCTTTTTCCGTTCCTACGCTAAGATATCAGAGATAATCAGTATAAAGGCTTTTGAACTCTATTCCCAAGACCTATGAAAACAAGCCTTTGATTTCAAGAGAGAAGTACAAGTGCTAATACTTGACATTAATATGAATGCATATTAATATTAACTTGGAAAATATCTATTTACTCCTAGGTAAACATGTACAGAAAAATGTGTAAGGCTCTAAGCTTTAGGGCTTCCAGCTGCCAACTTACTAGCAAACCAAAGAAAACAGTTCAATAATTAAATGACTTATTTCCTTCTATCACTCTCTTACAAACGCAAAGAAAATATCATGTGAAATACCACTTCTGACTTCCTTCCAGACACAGTGTACTGCTCACTGGCTAAGCCAGAGGGACTTTTTAGCATGGCCAAAATATTTTTGAGAATATTTTCCCATTCAAGCCTGATTTGTTCCCTTATGTCAAAAGGGAGAGTCGCCATCAATGAAAGTCAGAGCCTCAGCAAAATTCCAATAGTAATGGCTGGAGTGTGGTGCTCTATTGAAGTCTATGCAGTGAACTGTCCTTTTCCACAGTGGGAAATCTTTACCTCAGTGCCTCCAACCTCTGTAAAACTCAAGTATAAAATTGTTTTCCCTATCTCCTGCGAAACGTACGCTGGTTTTGACCATGCATGGGCGATGCAAAGATACAAGAAGTACCTCCGGCAATTTATAGGCTTTGATGACAAATGTTTAGTTTGCTGCATATTTGTTAACTAATGACACGCTGTGCCAGAACTGCATTGCCAGTTATGACACAGGTCACTTTGTCCCTCCCTAATATCTAGTTTGGATTAACCCCTGGAAGTTAACCAACCTCATCCTCAGCTCCAGGAGTTTAGCAGCTCTTATTTTTAGACTGTGCTTATTGTATTCTGATAAATAAACATTTGAAACAAGTCATAGCAAAAACATGATAACAGAAAAAGTGAAAGCACTGAACTTTTACAAATGACGTAATGCAATGCCCTGTATTAACATTAATCCTGTTATTTACTTGATCTGTTTGGAAATTATTTTTGTATTTGGCACATGATATTTTCTTACAACGTTCTTTAACGCTGCACAAGAGAACCTCTTGCGGAAGTTCTTTATGCTAAAAGGATATAAATTAATTTAGTTTATAAAAGACTTCAAGTTTGCTGATTATAACTGAGAATTAAAATAGGATGGTGAAGGATGGAGGGAGAATGTTTAAATCTGACTGCAACAGCAACAGAGACAGAAAGCACTATCCTGTGTGATATCTATTACTTCTCCTGTTCTTTTCTTTTAATACAAAGTAAGTTTAACATAGTGCACATGAATTACCTAGGCTTGGCGACTAACTGCCTGAGGTACAGTCACAAAACCTCCGTATTATTCCAAACTGAAATTTAGCGTGCTGCCATTTCCTCTGTTACCTCAAGACCATTTCATTTTCAAATCAGTAAATTTCTTTTGCAGTTCTGTAAATAGAAGATAAAAAATTGGCATTATTGCTGACGATGTTCTTTTCTGTTATTTATTGAAAAAGGACAGGTATGTCAGCTTTCCAGTACCTCCTGCTTTTATACTAGCAATTTATGTTCAGGCAAAGCTGTGAACTGTTCAAGCCTCTGGCAAAACATGACAAACATCTGTCGTGAACAAAAATGTTTAGTAGAATTCTCGATACTGCAGTCTTGCATGAAGAAAGGTTTCTGCTTTAAACCTCCAAAGTAGAGAAGTTTCTTAACAGCTGAACTGTTCTCTCACTGAAGACCTATGATGACTTCTTCTCTGGGGAAAAAAAAAAAAAAAAAAAAAAAGGAAAGAAAAGCAACTTTTGTGTTTGTGGTTTTTGTTTGTTGTGTGTGTGTTGTTTTTTTTTTTTTTGATTGTCAGATACTAAATAGGAGGAATTCTCCAGAGAAGGATGAGAGACCTGGGAAGGTAATCACTGCTTCTTTCCCAGCCAGGGCTGCTTGGAGATGGTTCCGGGCAGCCCAGGCTGCCACAATGACCATGCACTTTGCCTGCAGGAGCCCTGCTGCTGCAAAAAGACCACTGGCCTGAAATTCTGGTTCAGTTTGACAGTGAATATAGTTTAAGTGCTGATATATACATAAATTATCACTAATTATCAATAATTATACAGTTCTTCACATTTTTATCTGAAAATAATCTTCGGTTGATTCTGAGCTATAATTGTATTGTATTTATTGTATTCAGTGAAGAGGGACACCCTTACATCCAAGAACACCTGCATGTTTTGTCAGCAGGTACAAGTTGATTAGAGCAGAAGTGGCTGTTTTGGTGGAGGACGAGAAAGCCCTAACAGAAGTTTTGTGGATATCTCTTCAACATCTTAGAACATCTCTTGGGCAGATAACAATCTTCTTGAACCAGCATGACACAGCTGAAATAATCATTTTTGCTAGCAATTGTAAAAATCTACATACACAAATAGGAGAGGAGAGAAAGTGCTGTACACTACTGGGCAGCGATAAAGGAACTATCTGTAACTCAGAATATTACATTTTACTACTGGTGAGCATTTATCTTATTTAGCAAAATCTTACTTCTGTAAGAAAAAGAAAATTGAGTTTAACATTTATGTTAACAGTTATATTAATAAATTTATTTTTTTATTAAAAAGCAAGAGGTGCTTCCATTGTGACTTTTCAAGTGCCAGAACAGGAAAACAACTAGCAATTGTCTGGACAAAGAAAAGAACCTATTTGATTTGTCTGTTAGCATACTTCATCTCAACAAATGGATGTAGCAATATGCTGGAAAAACTATTTTGGTTAACATTTGTTCTTGCCTACAAATTGATACATTTTTAAGAAAAGCTATGAAATTCTGAATTATCTTGTTCTGAAAGTATGAATGGAATTAGCAGCCTCAGTAACCATCTACATGGTTAATTCTTCATGCCAGCATTCATTTTTGGGGTTAGGCTCTTTGGGGCAGGAGGGAGATTTCTCAGGTTTTGGTCTTCTTAGAATACATATTTCTTCCTGAATCTGAGTTCTCAGCTTGTCAAAATGCAGAACTGTTGGTTTTTGCATTATCTAGGTCAGACGTCTTGCCCTCTACTATATTCCTACTGCTTTTCTGGCAAATAGACCTCTGGTAAACAAGGAAGAATTGTTTTCTTCCTACAGTCAGAATCACAGAATAGCTGAGGTTGAACAGAACCTCTTGAAATCATCTAGTCCAGCCCCTTCTCTAGCAGGAGCAGCTTCTAGCAGCTTCCTCAGGATTTTGTGTAGTTGCACAATTCTAAAGATTGAAACTCCAGCAACTCCCTGGGCAGCCCATCCCATGTTTGACCATTCTCTCGTGTTCAGATAGAATTTAAGTCTGTAAGTACAGTATCTCGTACTAGGGAGCCCAGAACTGGACACTGTTTCAGGGAAGCAAAGGATTTTATTTATCAGATAAAAATCACATCAGGTAGAATCAGTGGGAAAACTTGCTTTTATGGCTATACTCTTTCCTAACAGTAATCAATGGCCCTGTCCACTCAAAACGTTGTTCTTCATATTAAAGCCAAAAAAAAAAAGAAAAAAGAAAAAAAAAAAAGAAAGATTTTCATTATACAGTATTCTGATAATGACTTTGTGTCAGTAGCAGTTGTATTTAATGATCAAATGCCTTCCCACAAGTTAAATCTAATTCTCCACAACCATTGGGTTAGTATGGTTTTATGATAAAACAATTAACAGACAAGTGTTCAGGTAAAATCTGGTGGGGAAAATAGTACCTTTTATTCAGATGTGGTAAAAAAAACAGGTGTCTGTTTCTTTTACTTTCAGTGGCAGCCAGAAATGTGAGCTTCCACGGGCACTAATTCCTGCCTGGTCTGTAGCATGCCATAGAGTTTTTCAAACATCTATAGTTAAGGGGAAAAAATACAACACCTTCACTTAAAAGAGCTTTTATGCCACAGTCATTTTAGAACGTAAATTACTAAAAGGAGTACTGATACTTAAAGCCATTTCAACAGTACAGAGACAAAATGATCAAGGGAAACTGCTGAGTTTCATTTGGCACATAGAAAATGATAAAAATTGCTAGCTACATCTGAACTGCTGTTCATTAAGAAATGACAGAAACCTTAAATAATCCAGATAAGTTGCTGGATTCCACATACAGTTTGTAAAACTAATCTGAAAAAAATACTAGTTTGTATAACCCCAGACCAATGAGAGACAGCAAAATGTGCCATCAGTATGAAATGGAGTGTTTGCCATTCCGTAGTAAAGACGAAATGTACCTCTTTTAAACTTTTCCACCCAAGACCCTTGGGGCCTACACATCCACTTAAAGGAAAGTGCACTGAGTGATCTCACAAGTATAGAGATGAAATTCAGGTACACCAGAACATACTTTCACAAATGGAACAAATAACCAGCTCCCCACGGGGGAATATTTCTCACAGAATGATCTCTAATATGACCTTTCACTATTGATCATTAAGCAAAACTTGCAAAACACCTCTTCCAGAGTTTGAAGACTTATTTACATATATATATAAAACAAAAATAAAAATTAAGAACTCAGTCACAGTGAAAAAATTGGAGAATGAAAAAAAAGTGCCCGTCTTAAAGTCTGCTCTCAATTATTTTTCTGTGCTCAGTGAATCATGAAAAGACTTCTACTGCAATCATGTGTAATGAGTGGAGGTAAGAAGAACCAAACTACCTCAAGAAAAGTCTAAGCAACAGCAGGAATTGGACACTATTGGACCAACTGTATGGACCAACATAGTACACACTGCCTCACTCAGTAGTTTAATGGTTTTATTCAACATCACCATTGTGGACATTCTCCAGCATTCTGGTCATCAAACTTAAAAAAATCAGAGATTTTAATAAGACTATTTGGAACTTATACCTAAAAAAAAATGGATGTCTTATTATGGTCTGTGAGTCAAAATTTCATCTTGGGAAGAATGATTTCTAGCAATGAGAAAAAAGGTAAAAATGAGAAAAAAGGTAAAGAGAGCTTGCATCTCAGCAGGTTCTGCTGACTTTTTAAAGGCACTTGCATACCACAAGGAGAGTTGCTGAGCTGAGGTGAAAAGTGGTTTGTAGTATGGCTGCATTTTAAATTACATAAAGCTTTGCAATAGAGACCATATGAACTTTCAGATTTTTGTGCTAAAGACCAATTTGACTTGAACCAAAGTAACTTCATGGTTCACACTGCAGCTTTTCTTTTTCTTGACTTTTGTGTTGACAACCTGAAACTACACTCTTTCTCACATTACAGACTCATTTTACAAACCCACAGAAGCTCCACAATATTTGAGGTAGATCAGCAAAATATATGGTGAGAGGCACAGATGTATAGAGTTGTATAATATGGGAAGCTGGAAGAGTACAGGGAAACCTCAACATATTCTTGCACTCTTACCTACTATGCTGCTTTTACTTTCTGGATGTTGGGATTAAATAGACCTTGGAACTGAATCAGAATAGACATTCTGGGATTTTTATGTTACTAGAAATGTAATTACTCTTAACGTAATGAAACAGATGATTTAAAATAAAAACATCCTCCAAGACCTCCTGCAGAATTTCCAAAATACTGGAAGATTCTAAATCCCAATTTAAGATGTTAAATAAGTGGCCAGAGGTTAGATGGTACTGAGGGTCAAAGCACAACATAGTAAGCACTCTGTACCTGAGAAAAATCTCTTCAGTTATTAAGAATTTCTTTTAGTAAAAGAATTTAATTGAAAGAATTTAACAGGAACTTGAGACTCGGGGTCTATCAGTACCCTGACTGCATTAACAGGTCTTACTTGCACTGACCAGCCTCACCTGGTATCCCATCCACCCACCTCTACCCAAGAGGCTCCATTTAAGCTTAGACCTGATCCTTCACTGCCTACCTGTGCATGTGCTCAGTCATTGACCACATTGATCTGGCTCTGTATACTGTCACTAATTTTTTGCTCTTAGTTTTATTTCAGACCTGCTCTGCTGTCATGGGCGTGCCTGATATCCCAGAATCTTGGCTGATCCTCGCTGCCCATCCCTGGGTTTGCCTGACTCATCCTGCTCTTGTCCTCCTGATTTATTACAGTCATCTTCTTGGCCCCTGCAGAGCCACTGGCACTTGCTACACTTGTATATGATTTAACATGAATATTCTAATTTTAAATTACTACTTTATATTTTATATTGATCTTAGTTCAGTTTTTGTTTGCTTTAGTGTTTGAATACCTTGCTATTTGATTTCTATCCCCAGGAGAAAATAAATGCTGTCCTTGCTCTACAGATCTTGTACTGGAATTGCAGCAGTACCAACTCACTTGCTAAAACACTAAGAATTTCCTCTGGAGAATAAGGTGCTGTAGTATTCAAATCAACAGAGGAAAGGAAATAAAATCTATTGTTTTCTCACTCCAGAGTCTCAGGTAACAAAAGAAACGTGCTTTGGCTTCTGTGCAGCACCTGAAGAGGTTGTCAAGGATCCCAGATCCTTGAGTGGCAAGAGCTGAGTTAGTAGAGCCATTTTGGTTTCATGTTACATGAGCAGTTGGTCCATGATAAAAGTACAAAAGAGCTTAATTCTGTAAGGGCAACTTGACACAGAAGCTTACAGTACATTCTGTGGAATATCTATTTTGGTAAATTGTAGAATCAAGTCCCAAAAGGTATACAACCCCTTACATAGGAAATATTTATGTTCAGAAAACAAGTTTGACTTCTTCTGGTATCTAACTTAAGGCTGCCATGAAATTATTTTCCTATTCTTCTTACAGATTAACCAACGTAATCATTGTTGACTTACTGTCTGCGCTTCACTAAAGCACACTGGGGTCATTGCAGCTGATGATGGTAACTTGTTCTGATTGCTACAAAAGGATGTTTCTCTGAGCTGCAAAATAAACAGTTGTGTTCTCTCACTTTAAAAGAAATCAAAGAAAGTACTCCAACACAAGTTGCTAAATTTGAAAACAAAACGGCTGAGTAGAAAAACAGCTTTGTATGGAGCAGGCACAACTACAAAATTAGAGCAAAATGAGAAATGATAATTTGTCTTCCTGAGGATCAGTGTCAGTGTTTTCCATTATTTTAATTCTCATGTTTACTTTTTAAATGTTTATTTATTCAGGAGGCTTTCTGTTTTACTTTTAAAACCTTGCAAACAATCTTCCAACAAAATAATCCCAAAAACAAAACTGCATTCATATTAAAACAAAATCCTGAGCTTTAGCTGACCATCTATTGTGGCCATACTGTACTATTCAGCATCTGATCAGCAAGAAAATAAACAGAGTATCCACAAGGAGATCTCTGACACTACCAGAGAACTGAAGCCCACCGTATCACCATTTGCATCACTATAATGCCTAGAAATGCTAGCCAAGTCAGAGCATTAAACCAGCACTGAGAGAAAAGTCTCTCCTCCACAAAACTTATTATGAAAGTATAAAGGGAGAAGAAATGAAGGTGTGTTGGAAGGAAACTACAAGGCAACAATAAGACAATGTAGGTCAGCAGGCTCCTTGTGCCTGCAGCCTAGCTATTGTCAGTGTCTTTTGTTGCCTCTGCTACCAGCACGATGAGCTGCATGAAGACAAGCAAATCATGCATGTTGGAAGTTGTGTTCAGTGAACAATGGAAGTGAGCAACAGTGGCTGACAGGGTGTGAGAGCTGGAACGCCAAATCTGTCTGAAAGATAACAGGTAAGCTGGAGATAGATAACCCACCAAGGCCCTTGGACAAGAAGACCAGCAAGATGTACCTGAATTAAAAGGAAAGGAGGAATAACAAAAGGGGACACATGGCAGTAACAGTTAAAGCAACGAGTTGGGACAGGGTCAAGATGAAAAGGGCTCAAACTGGGTGGGATGTAGCCACAGTGCTGCTAATAGGTTGTACAGTCACACTGACACACTTGCATCCTGTGTGTATCCTCATGACAATTGTCTGTTACATTCCATTAATCAAGGTCAGAGGGGAAGGGCGTCATAGCAACTGAAGCAGAAGTCGGTGAGGATACAGATGAGGAATTTAGCAGAGAAGATACTAATACAGTCCATATTGCATCAAGTTATACAAAGTAGCTTAACATAGAGATCACAATATGAACACTTGGGGATCAAAGTCCAAGGTGATGACAAGCTGGATGATAATCCTGCCCTCAGCATTTATGGAGAAATGGGCATGTAGCTTTACACCTCTGTACATACAGAGCTGCACTGGATACTCTCCTATCTTAAGCATTATGTCTATTTGATTTTGGAGACCATATGAGAGGTTTAAGGTTGTGGCAGGGAGAAACTCCTCATAACATCTCTGTTCTCAATGGTCATGACAGAATTCTGCCAAACCCTGATCACTGCTCCAGTAACTTCCTGCCTCAGTAACTTATCGCTGAAATCTATGAGGAATTCAGCTTAAGAATTTTCTGCATTTTTAATCTGCACTCAGGCTATTTTCAGAAACAATTCAAACAGAAGATTTCTGAAAATTCAGCTATGTTAGTGTTGTTTGTTTCCTCTTATTCATCCTGCACGGATTCCTGAAAGCACTGGGCACAGTGCAGGGTAAAGCAGCAAATTTCAGGGCACCTGCTATTGCAGTGAGATGCTGAGACTTAAGTTACAGTTGGTGATGAAGCCGTCTGCTTATTAGTGCAGTAATATAATTTTCTCTCAGCAGTGGATTGGCAATCATGCCTTGTTTTTCAATTTTTCTTTCTTTTTTTTTTTTTTTTTTAACATAATCACTGACAATTCTTGTAGAAAGGACAGGATTTCTTGCACATGGCAGGATGTACCAGGAAACATAGCTGCATAGCCATTAAGGTAGTAAGCTTATTCTCTGTGGATTGTTTGAAGATAATAATGCTATTATTTGTGGATAAAGATTATAATTCTTTAATACCAGATGTGGCCACAATTTTTTTTAACCCTCCAGTTATCATGAGATATTATTTTGCAAGCCCCAGGGTTTTAACTTTGATTGCTGTGTGTAGGTACAAATTGCTTCTCGTTGTTCCTCTCCATTTAGTCTTCCCATCAGAGATTTGGCTGTCTCCATTCCTGTATGTTACCTATCAAGACACTTGTGCAACTCCCCCACATGCCCCATCATGACTGCTTTTAGTAATTTCTAGAGCAAATGTTACCAATTCACTATTTTAAACATTTTTTAAATAAGATTTTTTCCCTGCTTGGAGTATTATGATCTGCTTCCTTTCTCATGTGTGAGAAGGGCTGGAAAGATAAGAACTTGGCCACTGGAAATGGGAAGCTACCAAGTGAAGTTATTTGAGATGAGTTTGTCTAACCAAAGTTCCCTGGAGAAGGGTAGGCTTTGCAGGAGAGAGGAATGAACTTGAAAGTTCAGCCCATGAAGCTAATGAACAAGCTGTTCTGGAGGCACTGCAGATTGAACTTGGCTGTGCTGGAGAGTGCTGTGCATGACGTCTTTTGTCTTCAGACTCTGAGGAAGGACAGGAGGGACAGAGGTGGGTAGACCTTTCCAAGCTAGCTGACATGGGAGCCATCAGACACTGGAATAAGCTGGAAACACTGCTAGGGAAACTAACTAAGGCAGAGTAGCTGCTGGAGGGTGTCTTGCCATAAAGAACAGGTCTAATGCTGTGTCACAGACTAAATTCAAACCAGAGAACACTGACAGAATCCTTTTCACCATGGAACTGAGGGTTTTCTTTGCTAAGGTTTAGCAAAACACATCTGAATGGACCCTTCTACACTGCCTCTCCTAGCCTGGCCCTTCTGTGCTCGCCTCACTCTGTATTCTTACTTTTCTGCTATGGGGCTGAAGTGCTCCACGTCTGCTGGCTGTTCCCTGTGGTTCCTGTTCTTGCTGTTCACCACAGATCTTTGCTATCCTATAAAATCAAAACTACCCATGAGGTGAATTATATTCACTTCCACAGCTGAGCAGAAGCTGCATTGATTTGATTTAATATTTTCTATTTAGTCTATTGATTTTTCGAGTAGTCCTAAGAGCACATTCCCATAAATGGCCATGCAGAACTTTGTACTCAGTTTAACAGTTTTATTTACAAAGAATGTTCTTGCCCCTTGCCAAGTTTCTCCAGGCATGAACATCTAAAATTAATTTCTATGATTAATACAGCATAAAAGAGATGTATATAAAAGACAGTTCTCTGCCTGCACGGTTATTTGGGATACCAAAAGGCAGTATACCTTTTAGAAATATCTAGGAAGTGGAACAATTATCACTTGACAGGTCTTAGTTGTTAAGAGACAAAAATAATAAGGAAAGTGAAAAATCTTTATAAAACAATTTTTTTTTTCACCCACCTATTTAAGCAGTTGTAGGTACTGGCACAAAAGCAGGCCTCTGAAAATGCTTCTGAGAAGCATGTTTTCAGAAGTTAGCACCACTGATGAGTGCTACTACTCAGGATTAACAAATCCGATAGAGATGGGATTGTAGAAGGAAGGCTGTGAGGAACAGACGTTTACAGAATCATAGAACCATCAAGGTTGGAAAAGACCTCCAAGACCATCTAATTCAACAGCCCACTTATCACCTAAGTGGGTGATATTCCTACTAAGCCATATAGCATAGTAGTGCCTTTTGAACAGCAGATGTTGAAAATGGGTAGGTTCTCATGTGAAAAGTCAGTAATTCCTTTCGCTATCCGGCCACTTGCAGGAGGATGTAATGTTTACAGAGTAAGCAGAGCATGATTAAACTTCCTAGTCAGCTGCTGAGGAGGATGAGGTGGATCTTTTAATTGAGGATAAGAAAACAGTACTTTAAGCATTAAAAAGCAGCTGTTTTGTTTCTTTCTTTGGGTGTGGTTGTTTTTTTTTTTTTTTTTTTTTTTTTTTTTTTTTTTTTTTTTTTTTTTTTTGTGAATCTGAGAAAAGGCCTCTGGAGAAAGGACAAATGGCAGCTCTACAAATCAAGAAGGAATTTGATGCTCTTCTCATACCATCATCTAGATTTTCCACTTGTGAGATGAAATCGAGCTTAGCATTATTATTTCCAGAATGTTTTACAGGCATTATCGCACGCTTTTCCCCATTGTAACAGGGGTAAAAATAAAAATAATTTTTTTTAAAAAATCAGAACTTGTTAGTAAGCCTTATAAATGTACAACTTCCATGCTCTGTGCCTTCTTATTCTGTGATATCTCCAATTCCAGAAATGTATCTGCACTCATAAAGTGTGAGAGTTTACTTTGCCCTTATTGAATAGTCTGTTCCTGTCTCTCTGTCCTGGGTTTGGATAAGGAGAGTTTAAGGAAGGCCAGGTGGTTTTGTGTAAAGGCATCTCAGGGATATAATGCCTGGCTGACCATAGACAGCCCTGGTCTTCCAACCCTCCTAGCTCTTTCCAACAGCAGCCTATTCATTTTCTACGCATCAAGTTCCCCTTTCCTCCAGTCCACTCTGAATTCCTGCAGATAAACAAAAATTTAATTCCACACAGATCTCCCAGCCAAAGAGGAGGAAACCACTCCTTTCCAGTGGTTGTGAAAGAAATACTGTATTCATCTGGACTTCATTAATCTTTACCCATGAATTATCTTTCTTTTGTTCTGTTAGGAAATTTTCTCAATTTCATGGTAGGACCTCAGAATGTTTGTGCTATTTCTGTCTGTGTCTTATAAAAAGCCATGAACAGGAGTTAATTACTAGCAGCAAAAGGTGCACTTGAAAGTGCTTTGAAAGTGGGGGGGATGTTCTCACCATACCTCAGTGTGACAGAATTCAGAGAGAGGAATTCTGGCAGGTTTTATTTTCTCTAGAACAGACTCTGCATGGCAATTCAGACCTGGGCCAGCAGCCAAGTGGGTTTCCGCTGTGATTCACACAAGACTGCGGAGGAAGTGTTTGAAAAATTTAAGATGTGCAGAGTGGCTTTAGAAAATACCAAGAGTCATTAACTGATACATTTTCTCCATTTCATTTTGCAAGGAAAGAACTTTTGTTGGAGAATAAACAGGGGAAAGGCAGAGGGCAAACTTCTCCCTCTATATCAATAAGACTACGGTTCTGATAACTGTAAGTGAAATAGCTATACCTATAAAGAAAACAATTATTGCTCACTAAATTACTTTTAATTGTTCTCTCTGGCTTAATACCACACATAAAACAGACAAAAATTTGAAATAAAAAGTCGTGTGGGTTATTTGTTTTTGTATGTCTTTGCCACAGTTAGCAAGCCTTAACTACAGAGAATGAGATTCCTCATACTTCACACCTTGTGCAGTTCTAGGATGGGACTGCTCTCCTTCCAAGGAAGCTGGGGCATCGAATATGGAACAGATCAACTGAGTTGCTTCTAGCAATTGCTACAACACCAGATCAGAAAACTGTAACCTTATGAGGACATTTCCATTGGGCATTAAGGTTAAGGTCATTGTTAAGGTCAGATTTTCAAAAATGATTTAACCTAGCCTTCTAATGCTTAGCATTCACAAAAGCAGCCCCTGCAGGTGAAGGAAGGATGTGAAATCAAGAGCTCACTTTGGACTAATATCCACTTCTTACAGGTAGAAACTTTCCTTTGTACTGCATATATATTTATAATAGAGTCTCAGCAGCTAATGAACTAATCCAACTCATTTGTCTGGAAAGGCACGTACAACAAAGTTAAATCTAATGCAGCAAGAAGACAATGTTTCTATAATGTCTGATTTACTTTATAAAGGAATATTTACTCCATGACTTGATTACTCTGCCGATATATTATGGTCCCCTCTAGAAATGCCAAAGAGGTGGATTTTTCCAGGCTAACTGGGAACAAAAAAATTTCAGCACATTGATTTGTCATAAAGACGGAATAAGAAGGGAGAAAAAATAACCCGTGCCCCAGCTAAAAGGAAAATGTAACGTACAAACTGTAAGTAAAGAGACTGAATGTTGGAATTGCTCAATACTGAGACATAAAGAAGAAAACTAAGAGTATTTGAGCAAGAAAATTAGAATACAGAGTCAAAGAATATTTCTGATCTAGTATTTATGCCTACCATTGAATTTTGTTGTCAAATTGGTAAGAACAAAGTATAGTGCTTTGAACGTAAAGTTCTTCAAAATGGGAGATCTCATTTTCCTTCCTTTCTCCACTCTTCAATCATTAAAATGTACTTTCTACTCTATTCTCTTGATATCAGTACAAGCTCTTGCAATTCCATATTGTAGCTTTCTGGAAAGACTCCTACCTTTGTAGTAGTAAAACACAAAATTGTCTTGCAGAAAGTCCTGTCCCTCGAGGAGACCAACATCATTATTTGCTGCCTTGTAGCTGCGGTGTGCTATTTGCTTGCTGCAGCAGATAAAGCAAGGAAACAGTGATTCCGAGTTCACATCAACTTCTGAAGTTCATCCCATAACACCACAACTGCTATCACAGTGATATTCATGGGTACGATGTGAGACTTCGACAGGAGGGAAAGAGAATACCCTAGAAAATGACCAGAAGATGCCAGTCAACAACAAAGTTAAACTTGCCAGGTGATTGGTCACAGCTGAGCTCTGTTCTGCCCCGTGTGCTAGTTTAAACCTAGCTTGGGTGTATCTAACACTACGGTGATATTCAAAGAAATTGTTCTGCCTCTCACAGTATATCTACTGATAGTTAATTTTAAAGTCTCTCAGCTAAACAACCTGCAGAATCTGTACAGGTAACATTTATCTTGTTTCGTCAGGCCACTGAACAGTAAGCAGATGATACAAGATAAATGCTACCTTCCTTAAATGACTGTCAATGGAGGGGAATCCGCAGCACTACAGGGTTGTGTTTTTGATAAAGACACAGGTCATGTACATCCGCGTTCATCCAAAGACACCTCCTGTTCATCCAAAGAAATGCAATCCCTTCTCTCTTAATTTAAGGTAAGGTACTGCAAGTGTGAATTGAAGGAAGGGGACACAAGAAGGGGAGTCCATACAGAGTAGAGGGAATCCTGTTCCCACAGTTACAATCACTACCTTCTCACAGGGGCTCTCCAGAAATAGATCACACCATCTATTACTGGCTGCAGTGAAGCTAGTATGTTGCATTCGGGTGATTCTGATGGTGGCCTGAAGGCCTAAACTCTATCATGCTCAGGCTGCAGTGTGTGCTAGAACAGTGGTTTTTGGTTTTTTTTGTTTTTTTTTTTTTTTTTTTTTTTTTTTTTTTTTTTTTTTTTTTTTTTTTTTTTTTGGTTTGTTTTTTAAATGAATAAACTTAATTTTACCATTATAATGGGCCTTCAGTTGGAAACAGAGTTATTCGTAACTATATACAGTGCAGTGTAAAGGAAGTTCTTTGTGAATAAGGATCTGCCCATGTATGCTCTAACTAAACACAATGAAAAATGAAAGCAAACAGCTCTTGAAAAAGTTATTTGTTATACTTTGCCTAAGGCATCAGTGCATGTTATTGGTTTATTTTCAACTGAAGAGAAGGATGATGACAGTGGATTTTATTCTTTTTTTTTTTTTTCTGTTTATTTTTAGAAGTGGACCAACAAACAACCACAACCTAAATTCTATAGGACAGAAGTGCACACATGCACTTTGTTAACTATCAGAATCTATTTGAGTTCAGATAGTTTCAGCAGAACTGTACACATACATCTTCTTCCAATGCAGAGTACAAAAAACTAATTCACCAGTATGGTGAAAATGAACAGTAAGGTCTAATGTTTAAGAGAGCTGGTGAAGTCAGCCTTTTACCTTCTTCCTGTTCAGACACACTGTAGAGACAGCATTAAAATTCAGACATAACTCTGTCAAAGGCAAAAAAAAAAAAAAACAACAACAAATAATCAACAAACAGCAGCAGCTTCAAGTGAGCATTAGTTTTGTACTGCCACTGAAATGAAGCCTGAATCTGGATGGAACAAGCAACAAACTGGGCATGTGCAGACCATGCAGGATTCTGTATTTAAATGGAAGCTGCCGCTGCTGCCCTTTCCTAAGCTGAAGATGGAATAAAGCAAGCTGAGCTCTGGTGAGAAATTCTGCACTAGATCTTGCACTATTTCAGACAGAGGATCTGACAGTCTGCTTTACACACACACAGAAAGGTAAATTGGCTGACTTAAAATCAGAAGAGAGCTTTGCTTTCTTTGCTATTGCTTAGATTTCATTCGCGTAATTTGCCAGCCCGTTCAAAGGGGGAATATCTTGTCTCTCTGAAGACTCCATCTGCACCAAATTTGTGGAGTCAACTCATGGAATGACTCAGGAGCGATTGCCTACACACTGATGGACCTGCCTCTTAGAGCCCCAACAGTAAGTGCTTTCTCTCACTAACAGCTGTAGTAAGTAGCTCTGCTGGCAAAGCTGGCACTTATAGAGCTGTATATAGACACTTAAAGTCCATGCATAGATTTAATGATGTAATGCAATACTAAACAACATAATGAAATCTTTAAAATCTCTTTATTCCTATATTTATTGTGGAAAAGACTGTAGAAGCAGTGTTCTTCAGCAGTTTTACCTGAGCAGAAGACAGGGAGGATTGTTTAATGGAAAACTATGTTGAATATGTTACAAACTACCAAGAGAGAATGTTCTTGTTAAGTTATACAGTTGGTTAATAGTTCAAATACAACACTTGCTTGTGTTACTATTCAAAATGGAAATCCCCATCATTTCTATAATAGCCTGTAAGTGCAGCAAAGTGATTATGTAAATGCTGAAGAGTTGTTACTTGCTATTACCAAAGCTTTTCAGAAGGTTTCTCCAGGTAAGTTCTACCAAAGAGCTCTCCTTAAAAATGTGAAGGTGGAGTTCTGTTATAATGACTCCTCATGACAGAACTTCTTGGGGCTTTCTAAAAATATTCTGTATCACAAGCCCAAACAGAAAGAGTTCGGAAACCTCTTCTTGGTTGTGTAACTTAGTATACTGTTGGGTTGCATTCTGTTTGTACAGAAGTCTGTTAAAAAGAAAAAGATATCCAAGCAATTTCTGAAGTTTTTGAAATCTGAATTTCTATGTAAAATATTGATGCTGTCACACCAGGTATTTTGGCATGACCCACATAGGCCAGTTTTTAATACACAGAGCATGTTGGACCTGATGTTGCAGCTTGACCCTTATTTATACTGAAGCAGCAGTAAATATTTTATTATTTGCACAGTAAAAATGCAGAGTGTTTATTTTTAATAAAAGCTGGATATGCATCGTATAATACAGGGAAATGAACAAAGAAGCATCCTGAGCCAAGGCGCTTAGAAACTGAATTAGATGGATAACATAATGAAAGAGGATAGCAGAACAAAGCAGGGAGGGATAATTGGGACTGGAGAGCACATGGCAAAATGGAAAAGGATTCTGGGGACAGAGTGATTCACACTCAAAAATTCAAAATGAATTTTGTCCTTATTCTGCTGGAAGAGGAAATCAGCTGTCTATTCCCTCCCTTTAAGTCAAGTATTTTCAAACTTCTGCATTTTAATTTCACACAAAGATTGGCTTAAGGGAGCTTCAGAACTGAAAGCAATATGTGCTGCCTGTGGTTGAGATTAAATCTGGAAGACCGGATACAAAATCTGCTGTTCAAATTGCTCTAAAGGACAAACATGGAAAGCCCTGCTGCCTACTGGAAAGAGGGCTTAGCATTTGGCGTCATCCTGCTGAACCCATAATTGAAGTGGGATTGCTTACACTTCTCTTTGTTCTGTCTGTCATCACCGAAGAAGGTGCCACTAGAAGCAAGCTCAGGAATTAGAGCAAGAAACTGTGAAGAAAATAAGTGCTATCAGTTATTTGAAGCTTCCGGTAGGTAGAACAAAAACTGCACCTAGAAACTCTAGGAAATTACTGTATTTCTGTTCTGATAATTTTCTCTATCTGTATAATTTGTTGTACTGCAAAAGGCTTAACATTATGGTTTGTACAATCAGTGTTAATGTATAAATAAGCAACTTCATCACTTATACTCTAGTAGGAAAATAAAGAACAAAGAGACCTGATGCATTACCAAAGTCAACATGAGACTGCCAAAACTTCTGTTTCAGAACGGGGCTCTGTTCCATTAAAGCAGCCATTCTGCAAAACCAGTGACTACAGTGTGGAAGCTAGATGAATCCCTAAGAACAACATAGCAGTCCCTATTTCTTCTTCCCTGTTTTACACTAAATTAGATATAATCCATCTGGCATCCAGGCAAGAGTAGCTGGAAAATGCCCTTATCTAAATCTTTTCTGTTCCCAGTTTTTGAAACAAACAAGCAAAGAAGTCAACTAATCATTTAGAACCAAGATTGAGATATGTTCAAATCCCAAAATCCTCCTATGAGGATTTCTCATTTCCCTGCAAACTAAACATTACTTCACAATCTTGCCTTTGGAAGAAAGTGAGGAGTGGGCTACATCAAATACGACATTTATATAAATACTTACACCTGTGGCCTTGCTCCTACTATCATCACTCTTAGCTTTACTAGAACTTCAGTTATCAAGGTGTCTCAGAAGAGTGAAGAGTGTAGTTCTTACTCTGAAGAACTACGGGTGTGCTTTTTTTTTTTTTTTTTTTTTCTTTCTTTCCCTCAGTAGTACAGTGTATTCTGTGCAATTTTTTCCACTTACACAAAAATGTTTTCCTCAAGTCGTGGAAGCAGGGAGAACACTAGGACTTTTAAAAACTGTACATCTTTAAGTGAAACTTACTCAAAAGTGAGCTGGTATTGTTTTGTTTGTTTAACAACTTTGAAATAGCTACATAGAAAACCTTCTCTTTAGGAAAATGTGTATAATAAACACATTTCCAAGATAAAGCAAACTAAGGCATCAAATATTTCTGGTCTGGACTTCCTTTTAACAGGGGCAAAACACTTAAAGAGTCAGTGGTTTCGCCCTGGAAAGCAAAATTTCTTATTTCCTTACAACTCTCTTTAGACCAGCATCTGGTATGGTTCTGACACAGTACACAAACTGCCATACATTAAGGCTGAAGTTTACTGAATGATAGCTGACAGTATGGCCAGTTCTGCAATAGCCATTTTGTCATAGGTGATATACAATCTTTCTTTCAGGGAGAACAGAAAACATTTCAAGAAGGAAATCTGCATTAAACGTAGTTGTTTCCCCCTTCTTCTACTGCCTCCACAAGGACACACTTAAACATGATGGAAGAAAATATACTGATGTGCAGCAACCTTCATAACTTGCTGCCACTGACTCTTAAGGCAAATGGCAGAGTTGGATTTAGGAAAGGATTACACCTATATATGAGGGATAAAAATATCCTCCATTAAGATTATCTTTTCAAAGGGATAACAACTCTGTTTTAGGATACAAACCAACTGCTAAGAGTGTGAAGGGAATTCTCATATTGCTGTTCATTATGCACTCAGACTTCCCAGGGCAGCAGTCATGGCACCAAGATTGATGGAGCCCAAGATACATTTGGACAATGTTCTCACACAGATGGTTTGATTCTTCAAAACTATAGTGCAAATAAATAATAAATGGCTTGCCTATCAGAGATTAATTATTTTACAGCTCTTTCAAAAGGCCAGGCTTCATCATATCCAAACAAATTATAAAACCTGATTTCAAGGGAGACTTAAAATGCCACCCTTGGCATTAAGATATGTTCTCGAACTGACCCTACTTACTGTGAAGATATTGTGTAACATTTCAGTTACTCCTCTAACATCTTCCACAGTTTCTCAAGCTACCATTTTTTTTGCTCACTTAAGAAGTGTGCAATATTTAAGCGGACTGCCAGGAAGCTGGTGCTTCTCAGTAAATTGTTTTCTACAGAATTAATACCAATTTAAGCCACCCACAATGTAGTATGCCTGTGGGTATACTGGCACCCAGTGGTCCAGAGCCTCAGATACAAGTATCTCTATTAGTTGACTCAAGAAAGATGTAGTGTATTAACTGACTACAGTAAAACATCCAACTTCTTCCCAGTTCTACTTCTTCGTTCATCTGGTACTGTTTTGAACCATGTTACACAAAATAAGCTGTGTTTTCGTATCACTTAGAAGAGAAATAATGTAGTACTGGTTCTGCCTATTCATTTCTTTTAATCTTCATGACAGTGTTGTAATGCTGAAATGCTAAAATGTGATGGAAAGTTCATCAATAATAGCAGAGCAGCACAATCCTAGGCTACAGCAAATAAGAACAAATGCAAATGCAGCAGCCATAGATACAGAAATAAAGGAAGAAAAGCTGCTTACCTTCAGAAGGCCACAGGCAGACAGGAATCTCCATAGCGACACCCTCACCTCCACTGCCAACACTTAAATAAGGTCTGGGAAGGAGTGGTTCCTGGCTTTATCCCTTCTGGTCACTCAGGTGTATTGGATGCAGCTGAGCTCCCCTGGGTTGGCCCTGTCTTCTCACCAGGTGCTCAATCACTGTTTCAAGTTGTGACTTAGCATTTTCACTACGTAAGTGCATACCGAAAGCAGGCTGAACAGAAGAACAGGCAAGATAATCATGTTCTGGGATATCAATGCAATTGAAATAGTTGTTCAGATGGAGCATTCTCACAGGACAATTGCTATGGCAGGGATTGCAAAGGTGTGATTTTAGTTCTCTTATGCCACCCAAGTACTAATACCATAGGGTGACAACAGAAGACAGACTAAACAAGGCTAAACAGAGAAAAGCTTTGAGAATTGTCTGATTTCTTGATTAGGCTGCTGTCCTGATTTCCTCAAGCATTACCTTTTTCCCTTATAACACCTAGAGATGATTGAGACAGGCAAGTGTTTTCATCTTCTAGTGAGGAAGGTAACGTGTGCAACTCAGTGATGAATTTGAAGTGCTTAGGTCTGATCTAATGCCTTTAGGTCAGCTAGCACCTTTCTTTGTCTTCAAGAAGCTTTGAATCAGACCTGTCTTTCTAATAAAAAGAGTTATATTATTTTTTTTTTTTTTTCTTTAAATAATGGAGTTTTTTCTTAGCGAACAGCAAGAACTGGACTCTGTGGTGAAAATAAGCCATCTCCAGGAAGTCCACACTAAAATGTGAATTTACTCCTCTTTGTCAATCCCTTTCTTTCTCCGTCTACTTGGTATTATGTCCTACCAATGCTCAATTACAAATATTACACATTTATTTTTTTCACATTTGACATTTTTATTGTCTCTACACCTGTTTCATTCCCCAATAAGTAGTTTTGATGTCTTCTACTGTCCCATAAACAACCTCTTCCACTATTTTTTTTTCTACATCCAAATCTATCCTTCAAATTGTTTCTTGTCCTTTGTCTCCCACAAATTTAATTTAAATTACAGCCATTTCAAATCTGCTTTTTGTAGCCAAAACAAGCTCCTTTAGTTGCTTCATTTCTGTTACCTTGATTAAATGGATAGCTATAGAAGAAAATATCAGAAATCTCCATTACATTAGTGATCATGATTCTCTGCGGAGCAGCATCCATAAAGCTACAGAAATAAAAAATAAATAAACCTAAACCAAAGAACACCTGGTCTAATTTAATTAAAAGAGTTTTATCTCAGACTATCCCACTCCACTTGCTATTAGTGTGGGATTTTGTGTTACCTTACTGACAGTGTGTTAAATAAACCAATATCTATCTACACGGGCAAGATGCCCACTGATTTTTATGTGAGGCCAACTTGCTGAAGGAACCTGAACAAAAAAAACATCATGATTCTGTCTCTCAGTTATTATATCAGCTTTAATACAATCATAACATTTTGCTCCAATTACAGTAACAGCCAGAGCTACATTTTCAGTCTCTACTATTTGTCCAGCATTTCATCCCTGCTAATAAAGAAACTCAGGGAGAGCATTCCTCTTGTTGAGGATTGCCACGGGCAGATCTCCAGCTCACAGTCAAAGACAATCTTTTGTACAATTTCAGACTCTCCTGGGGTTTAGCTTTTGCTACCGGCACATTGGTTTTAAATGCAAACTGTCTCTTATAATTTCAATCCAATCTCAGAGATCAGTAATGTCTGCCTTTATTGTCTGGAAACACCAGGGTCCTTTAATAACAGGAGTGTTGTTGAAGGCATTCCTGAGTTCATTCTAGCAGTGAATGCGAGCAGTTGACACAATGGGAGCATAAAGAATTTCATACATATATCCACTGCTTTGCACTTTCCTACCAGTAACCTTCCTCTTCCTGGGAAGGAATAACTGAATGTGTTAGCTGTAACACCACCTCCCAGTACTTGTTCTGGGAAACAGCACATCCAGCCTCATAGCATTATTTACGCTCAGTACAGACACAGACTTTGGTGCCTTTCCCTGGATCCTCAGCCACAGCCAGACTGATGATACTCACAGTAGGAAAAATATAAGCTATTCAAGATATCTGCTGGGCTTTATTGACATGTCATGATTCCTGTAGCTCAGTAGCTGAGGAATGCCATGGCTGCAGCTGACAGATTTGAATTAGGTGTGGTGGCCATGGCATGCCATTCCAGAGTGAGTGCCACCTATGATGAGAAAAACCCGGCAATGAAGAAGAGACAGGATCTATCTGTGCAGAAGAATGAGGATGGGGCTTTGTGTTTGTCACAGCTACATTCACTGATTGGAGCTGGTGCCAAAGCATGTTTAGGACAAGGGCAGCACACACAGAGGTGTGTGTTTAAATATCCTTGCCTGACTTCACAAGAAAAGGCAGCAGAACAGTGACAGTTTGCACATCCTTTACCATTTTTGTTAGGTCGTCCTGCTTCCTGGCTGCAGACTTCTTGTTCGCCTCATTACTAAGATGGGGTCATTTGGTCTAAAAAGTGTTTATAGCTCCTGAAACTTACTAAGAAAACATTCTAAACTATTATTTGAAGTGCTGAAGTCTCCAGACTTACCTAGTGAATTTTGCCACAAGTTATTAGTAGATAAGATCCACACGCTTTCAAGTGCTTAAACCACAATTATCACAAAAAGCAAAATACCTTCACTCAGTCCAGAGTGAAAATAAAACTGATATGTAAAAAAGGTGCAAACTAGAAAATTTTCCTGTTTAAAGTTTTCCAATCATTAATGTAGTTTCCACCAGACAGCTGCTCAGTCTTTTACCAATTGACAGGCTTTTAGTAACTAAGCCTTGAGGGCAGCTAGCAATGTGGTTATTTCATTTCTCTCACTGAATAATCAACATTTTACCCATATACCTTTAATCCCATAAAAGATTAAATGCACGTTTATCAATAGACAGTTATCCATCAATTCTATTTAGAGAAGATACTGTTGTCAGAACAGAGATCACACTTCATGGGTACAGAAACTTTAATGACACAAAAACCGCAGAAAATATTCTTGTTAGGTACTGCATTATTGATGTCAGATGAAATAAAAAAGGTCCCTTCATATCTCTAGTTCTCTTCTGTATCTTTCATTTTCTTTTGGGAGGGAATAAACTGCTTTTCTTCATTAAAATTCTCAATCCACAGGAAAAGCATAGAGTACTGTTTGACCTGTGTGCTTCTGATGGTGTATATGTGGCTCCCAAAGATGATCAACTGTAAACGTAATTTGAAAGTAATTAGCTTATTCTGATTCTTTTTGATTGCTGGCATTTCACACTCTTGATCAACTCTTCTACTAGGGTAGCACATGCCAACTTACTCACCAAAGTCTGACAATCTACCTATGACTTTTGTTTGCTTTGTAGAAGATGACAGTGAAAGATGTTCGTAGTGCTTTTCCTACAGTGGATGTCCCAGACCATGCCCACTATACAATTGGAACAGTCATTCTTATCGTGGGGATCACAGGAACTCTGGGTAATTTCCTGGTCATCTATGCTTTCTGCAGGTATCTTGTTTTGTATATTTTTCTAAATACTGAGATGAACTTTAACATCAACATGACTGTACTCTGTATGCAGTGCAGACATGCTATCACTCTAAATGCATGGCTTATTTCCTAACTAAAACCACATCCCAACTTTTATATCTGAAAGTAATCTGATCAATGATAACAATGTGATTTTTTTCACCTTTTTTTTTTTATTCACACTGTTTCTTTCTGTTCACTGAACACTGACAAAGCATTGCCATGACGTCTAGACCAGTGAGCCTCTCCTTCATGATTGATCATTATGCATTACTGTAATAAACATAAAAAATAAAAACTATATGACAATTAGACTGTGTTAACTTGAATCACAGGAGTGAGAACCTAACTAATGAGGCTCTTGAGCTTGTATTAATCTAGTGCATTTATCTAGAAGGTTAAAAAGGTGATCTCACATTTTCTGCTACATACAGTGTGTGCATTCAGAGCAGATACCAACATTTCAGTGTGAATGACATGGCCTTAAGAACAGATCAGGTGCTGGCATGCAGACCAGATACATGAGACAAGAGTGAAGTAAGTGACCTAGCTTAGCACTTTGGCTGGTCGCATACAGCAAATCCAGCCATACAGCAAATCCAGCCAGTTGCATTTCTAGTGAGAGAGACAGCCTGTCTTCATTGAAGATGTTATGAAGATAAAAAGGGACATTGAAAGAAAAATAATAAGTGCATCAGAAGTTCAGACTACATGTCAGATGCCTACAAAACAGTCTCAAAAAGTCACAAAAGTCTAAGACAGCCAGGTATCTGAAATAGAGATTTGTTCAGCAACTTAGCAGACAAAAACAAGTACCCCTAAGTATCTACTAAAAATATCTTGTTGCCCCCAAATTGACATTCAGGGGACAGTATATTTACTCACTGATTCTGGATCAGTACAAAGAACTGATCATTTATTCAGATACTTTATATTTTTACCTAAGACCAAAGTTTTGAGAAAGGAGCTAAAAACTTACACTAAGCCATGAACAAAGGAGCTCTCAATTCAGCTTCTCTGTGTACCTTTAAAGTATTGTACTATGATGTTATGAATAACATATGCAGGCAGAATACACTGAAGGCTGGCTACCATTCTCTTCAAAGTCAGTGTACATACAAATGAAATGAATGTCACAGGGAAGAACTGATGTGAAACAAAATGCTTGATGCGGTACACAGCAAGTTTGCTTAATCCCTGTATTTGTAAGTCATTGCTGATAAGATCACCAGCATGGAGATATGCACTATCCCTCCTCCAGCTTAACACGACCCAGATCCAGCAAATCCATGGAACACATCAGCTTTAATTTCCTGTTAATCACGGACATGCAGTGCACTGGGTCAGAGTACTTAAGGAACAATGTGATTTATCCCCACCACTGAGCTGGTTATCAAAACAGTCCTCTAAAATGCACAGCAGGATAAGGATGTAAAACAACCTTATGTTCTCTTGGGACAGAAATGAGAAGCATACTGTCCTAACTTGTTCTGTAGAGTGCCATGGTGTTTGTGAAGTTGCCAAAGCTCACAGAAAAGAGTAATGACATAATTAAGAGCACCGCATTGTCTAAGAAACATTCCTTCTATCTTTTCTTTGTAGGAGTAGGACCCTTCAGAAACCAGCCAATATATTCATCATCAATCTAGCTGTTAGTGACTTCCTTATGTCCATCACACAGTCTCCAGTATTTTTCACTAACAGTCTCCATAAACGATGGATTTTTGGTGAGAAAGGTTTGTATATCTACTTTCCAATAAATCACTAAGTATTGTCCTACTGTAGTGGCAGTTAACTACCCATTTCCTAATCCTCAGGTACACTTGCAATTTTCAACATTGCTTCAATATTAAAACCAAAGTTTCCCTGAACATTTTTGTCCCTGTGCAACAATTACATTCACAACACAAAGAAGAAAATTACACACACACAAGATACAAAGGAGACTCTGGCAATCTAATACAGAGGACCAGTCTCCTTGCCAGTGTTATTTCCCAATCATCTTGTAAGGTAACTACTGGTAGAGCCCTGTGACAAGGAACCACCAACTAGCAAATCACCAACTTAAAAGCAGCTCTAGATAATCTGCTCAGAGACTAGCAACCAGAAAGCTTGGCAACAGTGAGTTTTCTCAACAGAAATATTAACCGAACATGCCTGCGCAGTAAGCAAATGTTCTTGTGGGAGTTCGTGTTAACATGATTTGCAGAAGACATCTGGTCATTGCAACTACAAGAGTAATTAACTTCAATGTGCTATAAAATTGCAGAAATACTTAGGAAAAAATGAACCCCAATTTCTGTCCAAATCATTTTACAATCTAAATAGTCAATATCCAAGGAAGGAACCTAAAACAAAACCTCTGTTCTAGCAGGTAGAAGGCAGTATTTCTTCAAAAGATTCTCAAACTGCAGGTGAAACATGTGACTGAAGCCAACAGCACATCTGCTGCAGGCTTCAACAGCGGGATTTTCACCTTTGGCCTAAGAGGTGTGCAAATCTAAGGAGAAAACTCACTCCTAAGGAGTCCACAATCAATAATGTATAAAAAAATCCTGTAGAAGGGAATTGCTTTCATTCTTTTATAACTATAGTAAGAAGTTGACTAGTCTTTGCTTCTTGAATAGGTATGGACAGAGAGGGATATCAGAGAAATAACATGGCTGTTTTGATCCCTGATGACCAAAAGAATGGTTGTTTTTCCTACTTCAATAAAGTGCTCAATTGCACACGTTAAGAAATAAAAAACACAACCCTCAGCTTTTAATCATGATGATGCTTGACTTGTTAAAATTACTTATGAATATATTCATAGTCTGAATAGCTACTACAATTATGCTGACCTTGAGATACAAATGATACCATGACATCAAAGTAGCTAGAAGGCATCGTTGAACAAAATAGATGTTTTTAAGGGAACTTCAGTAAAACTGGAGTTAAGCAAGACATCATGGGACTGTTGAAAAATTTCTACTAGGAACATCATAAATCAGTGAGTGAAAATATAATTAGCAAGATAAACAGTAGCTTTGAAACAGTATTACATTACAATACTGGAAAACTGAAATTCCATCAGTTTATGAATCCCAGAAGACATTAGTTTACAGGAAACACAGAGTTGAGTCTCCTATAAATTAATTAGCACGAGTAGATTAATTTCACTGCTACTTCTGTCATCTTCATTGAAAGGCTGTGAGCTGTATGCCTTCTGCGGAGCTCTTTTTGGCATTACATCTATGATCACTTTGATGGTGATTGCCTTGGACAGATACTTTGTCATCACAAAACCTCTGGCTTCTGTTCGAGTGATGTCTAAGAAGAAGGCCCTTATAATCCTGGTAGGCGTCTGGCTGTACTCTTTGGCTTGGAGCCTCCCACCCTTCTTTGGATGGAGTAAGTGAAATGGAATACAAGTTTTTTTCCCTTATAACATTGGACTAAAAACTGGACTGTTACATTTATAAGAGATGGGTAAATGAATGGCTTGCATATTAAGCCTCAAAAACCTGTCTTAGGAAAATTGATAAAATACATACTGAAACTGAATACCTCAATCTGAAGAAAAAGTACAATTTGAATAAGAGCAACTTACATCACACTGGCATTTTTCCTTGAACTTATTACTTATTGTACAAAGAATAGTAGATAAAATGAAGGCCAAAATTTATGAAATGATGAACTTGCCTATTTTCCCATATCTACTTCTGTTGAGCCAAACTGAACAATATAAAAGTGAAATAAGTTTTTGTTTTTTCTCATGATATTTTTTTCTTCCCCAAAGGTGCTGTGTATGAGTGGTGGCAATTTAAATGTCTTCATTCATGTAATAAAGGAATACAGTCTATTCCTTAGAATATTCCATGAATATTTTGTTGAAGTACATCTTAAGTAGGTCTTGATTGTATTCTAGATGTGCAAATGGCACCGGATATCAGCTGCATTGTCCATTCAGACTTTAGTATCTTCACTGGGGATTCTGCTAGGAGTGGCATTTAATAACAACTATACAATTTGCTTTTGTAAATTTTTTGTTTGCAAATTGGAACACACATTTGATCACTGCCACTTGTAGCAAAGAGAGCTCCTGTTATTATTCCTCATTTGCATCCAACTCAGTAACATTAATTTGTTTCCTATGAGTCACCAAGTTTCAGTCAGTAAGTTAGAATGAGCTCATCATTCAAAACTCCAGCCCATTATTTTGTTCCCTAATTCCAGAACAGAATGTGTCAGCTCAGCTGAGGAGAGAATTTAGCAATGTTTTGTTTTCCCCAAAGAATGCTGAAATAAATAAATAAATAAATAAAAAATTTACAAAGTTGAATTTCAGAAGATGTTTGTTTTTGACTTGCTACTGCCTGTCGTGTCTGCCTTCAGTATGAGGCATGTTTAACTAGCCAATCCTCAGTGCTTGGGAAAGCAGCCTTAAGTTGAATGAGGCAGGGTTAGAAGAACAAAGTGACAATAATGTCTTAGATTCTGGAATTTTAATGGGAGAAGGCAGAATACTAACTTGAAATGTGTTAAGTCATTATCTTATAATTAGATTCCAATAGTATCCACACTACTAACCTTCATATAAAAAGTGGATGCATCTCAGAACATCTGGTATGCTATTTTTAAAAGTTCAGCAGAAAATATCACTGTGAACAGTGAAAATTGAAATAAAAGGAGAAATACGTTGCCATTAAGAATGTCTTTAGTTGTTTGACACAGTTTCTCTAAGGAAATTATATTTTATTTCTACATGTACTCAACTTTCTTTCGTGACAAAATTAATTTGACCTACACAACATAGCTCTCCCCTTTGCAGAATAGATTAATATGTAGAAGTTCTAAAAAGAGGCAGTTAAAGCAATCAGTTTCATTTCACTCATGGGAAGAAGCAATTTGAGCGAATCTGGACTTAAATGAAAACAGGGTGGGTCTGATGAAAAACCCACTGAAGTATTTGGAGAGATGCACTTTGACTATGTTGAGCTTAAAGTTATATTCAAGGATTGGAACAAAATGATTCAGTTTTCAGATCTCATCTCATGTTACTCTATCTTTCCCTAACTCCTGCATTCAGGATACTGGTAAGAATCACATTGTGGTTGATACCTTCTCCTGTTTCTAGGTGCCTATGTTCCTGAAGGCCTGCTGACTTCCTGTTCCTGGGATTACATGACTTTCACACCGTCAGTCCGTGCCTACACAATGCTGCTTTTCTGCTTTGTCTTCTTCATTCCTTTGATTGCTATCATATACAGCTATTTCTTCATATTTGAGGCTATCAAGAAGGCCAACAAGTAAGTAATTAGAAGTCTTAAGTTTTTATTTCTTTGTTTAAATGACTTTTATTTTCTTTTCTTAAAACAGACAGACAAAAGAAAATCGGAAAGTTTTTCAGTTCAAGTATACAACTGTGACAAGAAACCAAGTAAGAATTCTGTCAACATGTAAGAATTATGATCCTTAGAAGAGCCATTCAGGGCTCTGAATTTATGCCAGAGCTGTTCAGTATACCTGCTAATGATACAGAAAATGGTACAAGTAGCAACCTGACAAATCTGAAGGATGTGAAAGGACTATAGAAATTAACCAATTGTGAAAAGCAATACTAAATGGATATCATTTGTCCATTTAATATGTCCAATAACAGTAAATAAAAGCTATTCCATGGAAAAAAAAAAAATGAAATCAACTGCAAACACCATGTTTCACAATGAGTAAAAAGAAAATAAAAATAATCACACATCTCTAAACAAAAACTATCATACAGGCCAGTGTTTGCCACTATTCTTAGATATCTGTCTTGTAACTATCAGCACAGTAGAAAATGCAGACAGACAGTAAAGTACAACAATCAGATATAGGGAAACAAAGACTTCTCTAGTTATATTTTGTATTTGTCCAATTAAATGGAATACCTGATTTATGTGGAAACTCTTCTAGCATGGGACTATTTTTTCCCCCCTACATTTTGTCCTTGATTAGTGCAGCTGAAGTACACCAAATTGCAAGGGACTGGTCACATAGTGACACACATTAAAAGTACATGAGTTATCACATAAACTAGCATAAGAGTAATTGCTGCAATTCCCTATCTCAATTTTGCTGTTACACATTTACTTCCCCTAGGTCTATACAGACATTTGGATGCAAACATGGAAACAAAGATCTCCAGAAACAGTATCATCGGATGAAGAATGAGTGGAAGTTGGCTAAGATTGCACTGATCGTCATCTTGCTTTATGTCATTTCCTGGTCACCATACTCTGTCGTTGCTCTGGTAGCTTTTGCTGGGTAATTATGAATGTATCAGCAAATGAGGGTGTGCAATTGGGAAAGGCAGATGAAAGCCAAAGCTACTTGTCGACCCTAATGCCTGAAGTGCATTCCAAACATTAACCTATTTTGGAGTGACATTTAACAAATAAGAAAAAATCACAGCGTGTGCCTTAAGTTTGACTTTTCAAGGGAAAAAAAGCCAGTAGTAGGAAGTTTATTCCTTTCAACCTAAGAAACAATGCTGATGATTCCTGAATACATGCTCTGTGACAGCATATTTGATCCAAATTTTATTTAGCACCAAAATGCTAAGGGAGCCAAAAAGAACCACCCAGGGGAGATTTTTCCTCCACTTCTTTTACTTGCAAGTCTATTTATTTGCTTGTCTTACATCGAACTGATGAAATTCCTTACATACGTGTAAGAAAAACAAGCTCAAAATTACACAAGTATATACTTGCTTAGGGAAGTTTGTCAGTGTTAGACATAGAAGTAAACATAAATCATAACAGCATGTCCTTCATTTATCTAATTATCAGTGTTTCATACAGTAGTTTCCACAAAAATACAATACCATTAATATAGAATCTATATAAAGCTTGACTATCAGATATTGACCAGAATACCGTTGGTGCAACCCAGGTACAAGTCAAAAACTCTAAGCCTGGATGTCTTGGCTATATGTAGATATGTCTATTATGCTAAAGGCTGACACTGAACAGGCTTCTTCATTTTCCAGTGCTTCAGTTAAGGCTTTCTAAAGTGGATATGACCATGCCCTAGAAAGCCTTGTAAACTGCAAAGAATCTGAAATTCTCAACTAGAAGACTCAAGCAGAAGGCAGTACATTTTGGGAGGCAGGAGTGCTCATTGTAACATGCATAAGGAAGAGGCAAACATGACTTCCTAAACACTGCACTTCTAAAAATATTTTGCTTAAGATGAAAATTTGCTAAGAGAACGTTCTCCTATGGCACCCACAGAGCCAATTCCAAGCAGCAGCAAACTTTTTCTCCACAAAGGCTCCTCACTCAGAAACTCAAATCCTTAGAATACGTCCAACTCCAGAGTCCCATGTCCTGTCACAGGGAACTTAGGTATTGGGCATTTACCACTGGTGATATGAGACCACTAGAGATAGAAGAAAAGTGTGAAGATAAAAAATGAATCATAGCTGCCTTACATCACTGCTTGCTCCAAGTGAACTGAAAACAATAGAAAATGCTTTAAGCTAAGCATTCTAGCTGCACAGAACTGCCAGGTTGTTCTGTATGATTCAGTATCTACTTCAGCATGATCAAGTGCCTGCTGAACTTGACTTCTAGCCTATGTTTCCTGTTGACTAAAATCAAAACAAATGGACAGTTTTATAACTGTACAGCACCTGTCAAGTGAGCATTTGCAAATTTTTCTCACAAAGACAGCAAGTAAACAATACAGCTTCATTCAGCTTTTTTTTTTTTTTTTAAAGAAATTCCCTGAGTATATTAGGAGTACAAGCGGGAGCACAATGCTAAATAGGTCAGTAAAAGATGGAGGTTAAACTGCTGTCTCAGAAAATCGAGGTGTCATAAAGAAAGGATGCTAACTTAGACTAATGAGTCATTTTACTTAACCCTTTCTGCCAATCCGAGTTCTTCTTAGCTCCTAATCAGACCCATGGAGAACCTGCCTGATAGAAACTGCCTACAGAATGTGTTATTTTGGTTTGAGTAGCTCTCCTGACCTTCTTCTGACAAGACTCTATGGGCTCCTTCAAAGTATCTTCAGATTAAATGGCTGAAAGGAACATGGCAGTAGACATCAGTCATGATTTCTGTATCCTTTAAGGGCACAAAACCTGCATATATGCGTGGCCACAATAACACAAGTGAAGTGTATGTCACCAGAAGACCCATTCCCTACTGATTTTAGTTCAGATCAGGCAAAAAATTTGAAAAGCAGAACTGATCATATCTTTCCTGTAATGCCTCACTCTGCACACTCATCTAGTGACATATTTAGTGATGGGTTATTTAGCAAGTACATCTGCTGAGTTTTAAACAGATACTCTGATGAACACGCATTCATGTACTGCAGGCAGACTTTGTCTCTAGGGTAAATAGCACAGGGGTTATTACCACTGAATCATAGCAGTACTGCAAGAGAAGCATCACAAAAAATTGTGTTTCCCCCATTAGGCTAGTGTGCATCTTTGCAGGAAAAGGATGTAAAACTTTTCTCTCTCATTGTTTGAGTAGAGAACATCCCCTTGTTACATTCTGTGGAGCAATAACAACACACTGTGTTGTCAGCTTATAAATGCTGAGACTTTTGAGAACTCAGTACTAAACATGTACTGTATATACACTAAATGGATTATGTATTTGCATTACTCTAGGTATTCTCATGTTCTAACACCCTTCATGAATTCAATACCAGCTGTGATTGCCAAAGCTTCTGCCATCCATAACCCCATTATTTATGCCATCACTCACCCTAAATATAGGTAAGTTCATTCTTGTAAAATAAATTTAATGTAGCAGAGAATATCAGGCAGTAGCTTTATCACTTAAGGGACTAGTAACCAAACTCTCATTCACCTGTTCATTTTACCTTTGCAAGACAACCTCCTCCTCTCCAAGCAAACTTCTCAGTGCCATAAAAATGTCAGTAGAATTTGTACTTGGAACAGTTTACTGTGCAGATGGGAGCTAGAGATGTTTATGGAATGCTGATCTGTACTTACAGATCACATGATAGAAGATAGAGACTTTCCTAGCTCAGAGGAAATCATTGTAAATTTAACTGTCTTCAAGAGAGATCCAGACATCTGTCAGCATTAGAAATAGCAGTTTGTTAAATTAACCAGGCCACTGAGGAATGCAATCCAGTAAGTCAAGTTACTCCTTCCCTATTTTGTGCATCTTCCTCACTATCTGAAATAAGGAAGCATGAAGAAGAGTATTTCTTCTGAGCTGTAACATCTACACGTGACCATACCAAGTTCAGATGCAGGCCATGGAATCTGATGGATGGTAGCAAAGCCACACATATGCTGTTTCATTCTTTACACAGACCTACAAGATAATTTGACAGAGAAGTGTGGGCATAGACTTCTAAGTAGGATGACTGGGAGGGAGAGAAGTGCTGTGCAAAAGAGTTTCCTTATGCTGCATATGAGAAAAAGAATTCTGTAATATAGCTGCCTTTGTACTACCCTACAGATAGCAGGCAGACAGATGTGCTAAAGGAGGCCAGAATAGCTGCTTAGGGGCAGATTAAAACAATTTATTATGTGGTACTTCTGCAAGGTTCAGTTGAAAGAACAGAATTTTATTTTTGACCTGATTAAGCTGAAAGCAGATAAAATATTTTAATAGGTCCCTTCAGTTCAAAGAGTTATTCTTCAATGCCCTCACCCCTGCCAAGTAAAGCATTTAAATTCTATGGACCACTATTAATAAGTGATATTGAAGGGCAATTGTTTACAAGACACTGATATCTGGAAAACCCTTTATTGTACCAGTAATTTTCCAGTCCATGCAGCATTAGCCTATCTCTCTGAATAAATGCACTACGTATGATGCCTGAATTTTTATGCTAACATTAAAAAAATCTGACTTGTTCTACCTCCTTTCCATTAGAACAGCCATTGCAACATATGTTCCCTGCCTTGGATCCCTGCTGAGAGTTTCTCCTAAAGAGTCCCGATCCTTCAGCAGTTCTCGCTCCTCCAGACGAACCACCATAAGCAGCCAATCTTCTGAGACTGGCTCAGGTGGGCTGGAGAAAGGAAAAAGACGACTATCTTCCATCTCTGACAGTGAATCGGTAAGAAAGACACTTCTCATACACATTTTTAACTGCAGAGTAATTGACTTTCATAGAGTCCTCCAAAGCTTTACATGAAACACTTTATGCTTATTATGATAAGAACTTCAGAAAAAGGGAAGAAGTAAAGCAAAAGAAGGCCAACACGTAAGAGCAAACTGTAGCATATTATATTCTTGTCCATTTTTTACACTGAAGGAAGAATGAAGACATTGGACAACAGGCATTTCAGAAGGCAAGAGAAGCTTAGAGTCAGAGCATCCTAGAAAGCCTCACCATTCTTCTATGACTGAACTTGTCTGACCACAGATTTTGAGTCTGAACATAGAAAACAATCATAGAATCAAAATCATAGAATTGCTTGGTTGGAAAAGACCTTAAAGATCATCAAGTCTAATTGCAACCTAATCATTACTACATAAACATACTACTAACAACCCACAACTAAACCACGTCCCTGAGCATCACATTCAAACGGTTTTTAAACACATCCAGGGATGGTGACTCAACCACCTCCCTGGGGAGTCTATTCCAGTGCTTAACATCCCTTTCTGTAAATAAGTTTTTCCTGATATCCAACCTAAACTTACCTGGCACAACTTGAGGCCATTTCCCCTTGTCCTATGTGTTGCAAGTGAGAAGAGACACACCTCGTTCTCACTGTAAGCACAAGCACCCTTCAGATACTGGCAGAGAGCAATAAAGTCTCGAAACAGCCCCAGTTCCTTCAGACTCTCCTCATAGGGCATATTCTCCAAGCCCTTCATGAGCTTTGTTGCCCTTAATGACTTTTCTGTACTGAGGTGCCCAAAATTGAACATAGTACTCAAGGTGATGCCTCACCAATGCCAACCACAGGGGCAGGATTACTTTTCTAGTCCTGCTCACCACACCATTTTTGATACAAGCCAGGATGCCATTGGCCTTCTTGGCCACACTGCTGGCTAACATTGAGCCAATAGTCCATCAGTACAACCAATCCATTAGTCACTAAAAAATTATTTAGTGAAACCAAAATTTTAAGGAAACCGTGGTTTCTTAAGGTGAAGTGGGGTGCGTTTGGAAGCATTAACCATCAGACTTAAGTAAATCAACAAATGCATTTCCAAATCCTTCCTACATGAGACCTCAACACCATTCTGCTGCCATTCCAGGTAAAGCCAAATGCATTGCACAGCAGCTGGATATAAGCAGATATTTGGTGTCCCAGGCTCTCCCTTACTACACAGCTAGTTAATAATTTTGAAATCATTTTAAATCCAATCTCCAAATATATGAAAAGGCAATGATCTTCTCAATGATCATTTTTTCCATAGTCAGACTAAACACCATATCCAATGCAGTCACACCCTGAATTCAGACATTTGTTCTTAACAGTGCCATTTCAATTTCTTCAGATTCTATGTTCTTTTGAGTACTCAGTCCAACCAAAACTCAGTGAAAAGGCCAGAGTGAGGAAAAAAAGGTAGTGCAGAAAAGAACACTTGACTCATGCATAATCCCACTTTTCTGTTGTTGTTTGTTTTTACATTCATTGACATAAATCTTTATAATATCAGGAAACCTTTATGAAAATAAGTGCTTCTAAACTGGCCAGGTGCATTAGAAAAGTTTCCATAGTACACAGCGGAACATCATTTTGTTAGAAATTTTGAAGTAAACCCTACCAAAATAAACAAACAAGAAAACAAGACGTAAGCCAAAGTTATCTGAAGAGATTTGATAAGGTTTTTTGGACTTCTTTAAAGCAAAACACTGTATGGAGTTGTACGTGGCATAACTTTTCTGAAATAACTTTCACAAGGTGGCTGTCTCTTAAAATTTCTGTTTAGGTATCATACTACTCGGTCAGAAATCTAAGACCATGCTATTGCTTTTGCTGTATTCATTTTAGGGCTGTACCGATACAGAAACTGATATCACCAGTATGACCTCCAGACCTGCTAGCAGCCAGGTTTCCTATGAAATGGGCAAAGATACCACCCAAACTAGTGGCCTAGGAGGCAAACCTGAAGTGAAAAGCCACAATTCTGAAATTTTTGGAAAGGTAATAGATTGCGTAGTAACAATTCTTTAGCAACAGGTAGATCAACAATGAACATTTTATCATAATTAATCATAAAGAATATGGCCTAGAAGATGGGAATAACCTGTAAATTAGTGCTGTAAGTAATGTCCTTGAGGCTGTAAAAGGTCATCAGCTTTTTATTTACAGCTCTAATTCATCATTCAGCTGTCGTATTTCTGGCTGTTATATTGAACATAGCATATGCATGATGTGTTGTCCTGTGTTTGTTTTTAAGTGTATAATCTGTAATATTTTTATTTCCCCATATTGCCCAAATTACTTGACTCATCATTCTGTTGTCTCACCATTTGTTATCAAATAAGCATGTATGGCAAGTGATAGAAAACTAGTCTATCTCCGTTGAATTATTTTATGTTTTGTAGTACAAAGTCACATTTAGTTTATTACTGCATTCCTTCTCTGTTCCCTTTCTTTTTCCCTCTCTTTGTATTTCATGTACATGGGACATGGTAACCTACACATTATTTGTCTTTTTCACCTGTGTTCATTTTCCAGACAATTGTAAACACAGATGAAATACCCATGGTGGAAATGAATGTCACAGAGCATTCTGCTACTTCTACTGTAAGAACTACTTTAATATTTGGCATGGGTTTAGTTGAAGCAACAAAATCTAATGATAATCCCACTCCCTGAGCACAAATTAAGTAATTTACTGAGATGTAAAAAAAAAAAAAAAAAAAAAAAAAAACCAAAAACAAAAACCAAAAACCATATGATACTCCCACTAGGATACAGTAAATATGACCTCCAAGGGTAGATCACTGCTGAAACTGTGCAGAAATTAATGGAGAATACACATGCTACAGGGTTCTCCTTGAGCTCTGCTTCTTAAGAGAACTGAAGTTGAATTCAGTAGGTTGCCTGCCCATGATTTGCTTTGGGGTGAGTGGAAACACTATTCAAATAAAGATAAGAAAAAGCAATGTATACAGCAAGAGGAAATAGCTATTCAGTAGCTATTCAATGTCCTTTTGGGACAGTCAATCTTGTAGCAAGTTCATTTGTGCAAAGTGACACTGTTGACTATTTATTGTTCTCTGTTTTGGGTAGTGCAAAGCATCTGAAAAATGCAGCGTGGAGGAAAGTCAGGTAAGTTTCTGAAACATGTCATATCACTTATTCATTATTTTGTGGGCATAGTGTCTCTCTACTTCCATTTAACAAAGCTATAGCATACTGATGTTTGTTGTTTGTTTTTTTTTAAACATATTCTTCAAATGAGTCAACTTGCCCTAAATTAGTGAAATAAAAGAGCTGATAGGTGGAAAAAAATCAGTTTTATCTTTGCAGTAATAATAAAAATGTAACAAATGTAATTTTTATTGATAGTAGTGTTCCTTACAAGTTATTATTAGCCTAATCCTAACACTCCCTTTTGTGGTCCTATGCTAGGGATGGATAGCACTGCTATTGTAGCACAAATTAATCCTTTTCTGTTTGACTCCATTCTCTAGTTTGTTCCCCCTTCAAAATATCAATCTTTTTATCTGTTTCATACCACCTCATCTTAATGAACCAAAACAACTGCTTTGTCAACTATGTAGGCTTTTTTTTTTTTTTAATAGAGGAACTCTTTATATCATTTGTCTCTTACACTGAGTACATTCTCAGTACTTTTTCTTCCTCCCACAGAGGAATCTGCTGTCATTAGCCTGATCCTTCAAAGTAAACTCGATTCTGAATTAATATACTAATACAAAGACACTATCTTGTTTAAACTTCCCCTCCTCCCCCCACATTACTCATAAAACATTCCAGAAGTATTCAGATCTACTTCATCCTCTATCTTTTGAATTTGGCTTTAAGGTAGTAGTGGGTACTGGCAAAGCACTGATCTAAATACATCACATTTTCATAGACAATGCTGCCTGATATTCTTTGTAGATGTTTGTGTCTTCTATTTCTTTTAAAACCTTGCATTCTTCAGAGAGGTGAGAGCCTGAGTGGCATTGGACTAAGAAAAGGAGAGCCTCGCCATAGAACATCTGCATCTCAGATACCCAGCATCATAATAACATGCAGCAATGTACAAGGAGTAGAGCTGCCTTCTGGATACAGCACTGGTTTCCTGTACCCAAAGAACAAAAGCCACAAGCAGAACAAGAGCTCCAGCAGCTGAGTGGCACAAGCCAGAATATCACCTTCACCAGTATCTCTGGAGGAACCATGAACCAGCTGAATCCAGAAGGCTTTCCTGCCTTGCTCTGAAACACTTCTACAGAAACACAACACAAGCAAGAATAAAATCAAGTGTTCAGTTTCTGAACTGACTCCAGTGCTTCACTTTTGATCTGAGCCACACTGCAATTCATTATTTCTTCTTTTTGTGGCTCAAATAAATCATTTTTCTCACTTGGATTTTACTCTTCTCAGGCATATGACACTGTTATATGGATCTTGCCTACAATCTTGCCTACAAGCTCTTTTGATTAATTTGAGAGAAAAGGGAAGCGTGAGATCCAGCCTTTGTCTAATTACTGTGGAGTAACTTCAAAGCTATTTGTGGAAAAGCTTAAATTGCTTTCTGGAGATGCTTTCATTATTGAAGTTCCTCAAGCAAATGAAAACACTCAGTGCTCCTTTCTCTTAGTAATTAGAAAGTTTCCTCATATTCTTGTACAATGCAATTGAAAGGTAATGCACTTGAGCACTAATTTGAAGTCTCAGACTTTTTTTTTTTTTTTATTATTTCTGAGACTCTAGAGGATGAAAAAGTAATCTGCTTTTCCCTGGTGCTCCTTCTGGAATAAAAAAAATTAGTAGATAGAATTATTTTACAATCTGTAGAAGTTTACGCCGCAAGAATGATAAGGTGTAGTCAGTCCACATTGGGGATATGTCCCTTTTAAGTCTAAAAGCATAGAATAAATAGAGCTATTGAAGCAGTTCTTAACAACAGGTGCCTAAATAGCTCTCCCTTTGGTTGCAGGAATAGAGGAAACCACCCAAACCATTTTGTTCTCAGTAAATTGGTTCTGATGTCATATCAGAGAAAGCCATCAGATTATACAAACATAACCAGCTTATTCCTTTGAAGGCAAAAAAGTTCAGTCAGTTCCAGAAGACATGGGTCATTGATTACAACCAAATATTTGAAACTTACTTTGAATTGAATCAAAAACGGAGGTGATAATGTCTTTTGAGGCAGCTGAACATCAGATCTCAAATAAGTGGCTATTTCAGACAGGTAATAAACAACCAAAAGAAAACATTGAAAGTCTTGGGGTTTCTGCATAAATAAAATCATAGGCATTGGAAATGAAAAAAAAAAAAAAAAAAAAAAAGAGTAGTACAGTTTCTCCCTTTACCTACCACAACTGGATATTGTTTCCATGCAGAAAACAATGTTAAACTGACAACACACATGCTAGCAATAAGGAAATAGTAGGGCAAAAAACATATCTTCAAACAGGAAGCCTGTTCAAAGATGTTCATGAAGCCTGAGCAATTACATTCTTACTTACTGTTTTGGCTTACAAAATAAGAAAACATGAAGCATATAATTGTCCCCATCTTTTGCCAGGAAAGCAGGTGACAGTAGGGAAGAAATGCTAGCAAAGGTTGCCTATTTCATACAGACTGCAAAAGGCTGAACACATTAAGAAAATAGGTCAAAGCTTACATGTGCTTTTTTCTTGTGCTAATAAGATGCATTTGTGTACAACTTGCCATTAAGAGCTAGCCTTTTCACTCCTGTTACAATTTTGTTCAGAATTAATATTCTTGAAGACTATACTCTGCTCTTCTGCATTCTCTTCTACTTTTAGAGAGTATTAAAAGAATACATTGATGGCTAGAAAAGCCCTATGAATCCACAGCATGTTGTTCTCTCTATCCTTCAGCTCTAACATGTACTAGAGATTAGTTTGTGTCTATAAAAAGAACTGCAGCTGTTAGTGCTTGTCTACTTACAAGAGGCTTGAAAAGCGTATAATAATTAGGGAGAATTTGTTTAGGAGCACTTGAAAACTCGTGTGTATTCCCTATGTAACTAACAACTTCACCTTCCCTTCACTTCTACTGACACTACCAAAATCATTTGTGGAAAAGCCCACAAAACTCATTACGCCTAAATTTCTCACTAAAGTCATTGACATGGTAACCCCAGTGGCATTTGGAATAAATCATTATTAGTTCTTATTTCATCTCACTTTAGCAGCTTTATTTGTGTCCTGCATCCTCTATTTGGCAGCCATTCTCTCTGCTTTGCTGTCTCTTTACACCCCTTAACAGAGATGACTGATCAGATTAAAATAATTCAGGACTGAGGTGATTCATGTTTCAGTTAAAGTCAACTGTACAGGCTGTTCTGCACTAGCGAGACTGCTTGCCTTCACCATGCACTTGGGCATATTCCAGTGACGTGGTGGTGTGAAAGGACTAGGGCAAAACTGAGGCACTTCCCTTTGGCCTTTCATGCTCCAGCAGCTGTTCACAGAGTAGACTGCTGGCAAAGGGAATTGCAAGCAGTGCTGTGAGTTTACGGGCTCTGCACCACAATGGGCTCAAGCTCAAATTCAGACTTGGGTCACAAGTAGAAATATTTGGCCTTCCAAGTAATTTGGCAAAATTGCTGTGGTCCTATAAAGAAGATGCCAAGAACCAGTGTAATAAAAGCCTGTTCCAAGTCTGAAGCAGCACCTAAAAAGGCAATGGCAAGCAGCTGATCTTTCCAGCTTTCACATATTATCAAGAATCTTAGTTCATATGTTTTGCAGGTTATAGGCTCAGTTAATGTATTTCTGGGAATCCACTTTTCATCTAGCACTGGACTAGAAAGGGACATCACACGGCACTAAAATGTTCACACATTCTCATGTAAGGCAGACACAGACTGCTATCAAAGAGCCTCAGAGCTGTAGACAGTTTTACTCAAATTATTGTAACAGAGAAAAGGAAATTTCTCTCCCTGCACTGGTAGCAAAGAGTATTTTTCTTCAAGTCCTGTGAAAAACCAACAGCATGTCTGACATCCAAAAAAAGGCACATAACAAGGATAAATTGCACAGGCATGCCCGTTTTTCTTATTATGACTGGTGCCATGTTTTTACATGGGACATTCCAGGGAAAGCTGTAGCGTAGCCCGCATCCTACTCTGATCCCTCAGGGAAAGAATCGCATCTCAGTAACCCAGACAGAGCAGCTGTATGTCTCTGCTCCTGTAACAACTATTTACACAGGACTCTAATGAGAGGTCCTTTTTCTGCAAAGCAATGTCAGTATCAGTTCGTTATTTCAGTGGCTGAGCAACAGGTATCTCAGTTCAAACACTTGTTCTTATAGCCTTGCAGTTGTCAACGTCATAGGAATGTGAAGAGTCCGATGTTATAAATAGCTTTATATAAAAGCAATCTTAAAACAAAGAAATTACAAGTACTGGCCACACCTAGCAACCTCAGACAAGGACCACAATCCCATGCACTAAACATTTTACATTGAACAAAAAAAGGTTATGATGCCTTCCGCATCTCCTATCTAGTTCAAAACCTAAATGCTCATTTTCAAACTTGCAAATAGGTCAATTCCTAAATCTTGACAATGATGAGCTCTGACATAACTTACAAGGACAGAGAAACCAGGAGATAATCAGTGTAAACCTAATAAAATCAGTACATTGTCTCAAAAGCAAATCTAGCCTAATCAGTCTAATACAGAGTACAAAATTTTTGGTAGAAAAGTAATAGCTTTGTTGCAGCAATCCTGTCAGCAGCAGAGCTCTGCTAGAGACATGAGACAGGAATTCTATGTAACTGGCTCACAGAGTAAAGCAAATGGTGCAAGAGATATGTCAGCATAGGAAAATGCTAGCACATTTTCCAAACACTGATATCACCTCACTGTGCATGGGGATATCAGGATCTTGTGATGTTCAACCACAAATGTGGTCTCAGTGTTTGGCTGGCATATTAAGTAGAAGCATTTTTTGGCAATGGAAAGGGCTCTCAAGATTAGGATTCACCTGAGGTTAAAAAATAGGATCAGTGGCTGGGAAAAACAGAAGGGACATTCCTCTGGATGACAAACTTTTTCCTTACTCTTCAATTACTGAACTTGCACAAACAGCAGTACTACTTCAGATTCAGCACCAAAAATATTTTGGACCCCTCTCAGGAGAGCTGTAACCAACACTTGCCAAGGAGAACATTTTTAAGATCCACCCTCATTTGGACTACTAGAATAAATATTCAGACATAAAGCACAGAATTTCACTGGAAAAAAGGCCGAATTAGATCTTCTGATGCTAGCTATAAGCTCAGTAATTAGTAGAATTAATGGAAACACTCCTGTTAATTTTACCAGGCTTAAATCAAGTGTCTCAGATATGCTGCAAAGAACAAGTGAGCAGCAGCTCAGGTTAAACTGTCTCAGCAAGCAATCCAACACAACTTGAGCTAAAAGAAACCTCATGATATAACTCTTATTCCACCATCATTTCCTGTTTGTATTTATGGAGTCATATGTAGTTCTCTTATATTACAGTTCCTTGAGACAGTTACCTCCTCCTGTTTTTCCCTCCCTCCACAAAGTATCTGCTCTCAGTATCACCATCCAACTTTAACATTTCACTTTGTCAGAAATAATTAGATTCAGCTACTAAGAACATGAACTTGACACGTATGTAAAAAAGTTGCTTAAGGGAATTTTTGCAAAGCAGGCTTTATCCACAAAGCAAGAACAAAGCTGTTATTCATTTCCCTCAACACTTAGTTTTCACTGTAACTTCCACGTATATATAAGACAATAGTTCAGGAACAGACAAAAATCTGAGACCATATCATTGGATAGAACAAGTGCTCCTATGCAAAGTCACATACAGGATGTTTCCTGAATAGGCTGTAGAACATTTACAGGCATGCTTGCAGTAACTGTACATTTTCTACTGAATGGAAAAATTAAGCAGAAAACCCTCGCTCTTCCACAAAACGAGACTGAAGGTTTACACAGAAAGTGACCATAGATCTTATGTAGAAGCACATCCTTTAAAAGCTCCAGTGCTATAAAGGGTACTACACTTGCACAAGTTCACTGTTTGGATTGATATAATCCATTTATATCACATTTTTGTCAGATGCCTAAAGATATCCTACGCATAAACATTTACATAACACCTTAAGATACACAACCAAACAAGTTGATAACATTCAGTGACTTCTAGTAGTGACCAAACATACTGCCAATGTTTTTCCAGTTTAGTATTTACTGCCAACTCCATGCAACTGTATATTAATAAATTTCCTAAGTTCAAGTTTTTCTTCAAAGCCAAGGTAAAAACTGACAGCTAAGCTATCTACAAACTGTGTTCCTCTCAAGGCTACTAAGCACTTGGGTATAAGAAACCCTCACAAAGAGGAAAAAGGACATTC